TTTCTGCATCACACACACACACACACACACACATATATACATATATATATATATATATATATATATATATATAGGTTAAAACAAAGTTACATCTTCCTATTTCTCTTCGATTTATTGACACCTAATAGGTGATACATTTAAACCTGAAAATTCCTTCTGTGTTTAGAAAAAGAACTGATATTTATTTGACTTATGCTATAAAATATTAGCTACATAAAGGGAGTTTATTTCCAGTCTCTGTAACTTTTCTAAATACAATCAGTGTTTTTTCTCAAAAGTCAGAGCTGAATGAAAAGTACTCTAAGTATACCAATTGTGGCAACATTTTAACTGAAACACAAAAACCCGGTCATACCTGAAGGTTACGCTTGCTTTTCCTGATGTTATGTTGCAACAAAAAGTTGTTCTCCAAAGAAAAGCGACTATATTGATCATCTAGCTGAGACAGGAGGTCATGAAAACGGATAGTGGCAAATGAGACATCGTTGGCGGCATGTTCCCTAGGAAATTTAAATTTTTACATTTCATCTTAGATGCTATTTAAGCAGGCAAAATAAAAGTTGGCTTCTTTATTAATATTATCAAAAGTAATTTTTAAGTGATTTCTTAGATTTTTAGTTCCACCTTTGGAAACTGACACTGTCTTTAGCAGCAGTTTCTGCATCACACACACACACACACACATATGTACATATATATACATTAAGCATGAAAAATTCTCAAACTGAGCTTCTGCATGAAACTGTTAATGGTGATTATCTTAATTTCCTAAGTCAAATATCTTCAGAACATTCAAAAATCCTGTCATTGACAGATAATAAATTGAAACAGAGCCATATCAGTTTTAAGAGGTGGTCCCTTAACTTATTGTGTTCATATTTCTAGTCTATGTACTACCAATATTTAGGTTTTAATACTTTCTTTTTTAAATATTTATTTATTTATGCATACAGAACTGGGGTACAGACCACAAGTGTGGAGGCAGTGAGTGGATTCACCCAGAGACAGAGTGGGGAGAACAGGCAGATTGATGAAGTACTCTGCTGAGCAGAGCAGCAGACAAGACAAACAGGAGAGGCCTGTTGTTCTGTGTGGGTCACCTCCCTGGCTGGGGATTGAGCTCGTGCTGAAGCACCTGCAGCCAGCTTCTAGAACTGGGCTTTAAACCACTGCACCACCAGCGAGGGCCCTGGTTTTAACTATTTCTTTTAATTTACTTCTATCTGTAGCCTAGATCCTAACTTGAAAAATAATTGGTGTCAGCATTATTCAACTTGTTCAAAGCATTTAGGAGTACATATCCTAATTGTATTAGACAAATCCACATCACAGTGTTTGTGACTAATGTATTTAGCTTTTCAGAGATATGTGCCATTTTTAAAAATCAGCACAATTTTCTGCAACAGATAATCCCAATGGCCAGTGCCAAGATTCATCTTTAGTCAATGTGGCTCTAAGTTGCTTCATCAACACGTTATTTTGAAAACTTATTTCTCTCAAGTGAGATTTTCTTACCAGTCTTGCTTTTCTAGCCATTGTGCCAGGTACTGTCTGATTTCCATGGGAAAACTGTCATCGTAGAGCTGGTGAACCTGCTCCAGGAATTTGGAGTCCAGCTGCTGAAGCTCATACCACTGGGACATCCTATAAGGAAACAGAACAAAGATCACTAAGTCAGTCCATACTTCAAGGAAAGCATTGCAAAAGAAGCAGTGTGCTTCTTTTAAATAACTTGTCTAATCTAAAACATAACTTGTCTCTGAAATATGTCTTTTTTTTTTAAGATTTATTTATTTGTGCCTACAGAACTGGGGTACAGGCCAGAGGCTCAGGGGCGGTGAGAGGCTTCACCAGAGACAGAGTGGGGAGCAGAACAGGCAGATCGATGAAGTACACTGCTGAGGGGAGCAGCGGGCGGGTCAGGAGAGGTCTGCCGCGCCATATGGTCACCTCCGGGGCAGGCAGGAATCGAACTCATGTGGAAGTGGCTTAAGCTTTTTAATTCAGTGCTTTAACCCGCTGCGCCACCAAGGAGGGCCTGAAATATGTCTGTTTTAAAGATTTCTTTTTATGACATTTTGGGCCAATACATTTTTTTCTCATTTCTAGGAATCACATCATCAGGTCTTTGCCAAATGTCAACACACAAAGAAGTCCTGTCTAGCCACCTTTTTAAAATTGACACTGCCTCTCACTCTAGAAATACCATCCCTTTCCTCCAGTCCCCAAACCTCCTACGTCCCTCAACACTCTCTTCTCCCATGCCAGTCTCCCGAGGAGTTGGTCCATATCATGCTTGTTCAATAATGCTATAATTGGCCCATTCGTAGCTGATTTCCACACAGCCTTTTTTTATCCATCAACAAAGCAAATTATCACTGACTTCTGTACTGGTGTTTGGCTGTGCCAACATTTCTGCTTTGCTCCAGCCTTGCAAACAGCCTCCCCACAAATTTCTTCCTCTCTAGATCCTTCCAGTATTCTAAGTTAGGTACAAATGCCACTTGTTCCATTAAGCTGACTGAGATCCAGGCCATGAAGATTCCTTTGACTTGCATGGCATTGCTTCCTGTGCCTCTGCTAATGCAACAGTCCTCTCTTCTTCACTAGGATATCTTCCCTGCATGTTGTGTGCTGCAGAGTTACCACGCTTTTTAAAAAACCATCGCCTTCTTTTTAAAGATTTATTTATTTGCTTATGCCTATAAGAGCTGGGGTGTAGGCCAGAGGTGCAGGGGGTGAGAGGACTCACCAGGGAAAGTAGGGAGTGGAACAGGCATATCTACTGAAATACACTGAGGGGAGCAGTGGGCAAGACAAGAGAGGTCTACTGTGCCATATGGGTCAGTGGCCTGGCCTGCTGGGGGGCGGGGGGAATCTATCTCATGCTGCAGTGGCTGGCAATCGCTTGACAGAGCTGTCTTTAACCCCTGTGCCACCAGGAAGGCCCATCTTCTGCACCTTGCATAGTGTTCTGAACATAGCATATGCTCAGTCTTACTGAATTAAACTCTAATATATTTTCAACTGAATTAGAAAGTTACTGCTGATGTATTTTCAACTGAATTAGAAAGTTATTGACAAATAACCTATATTACAGTGCCACAAATTTTAGTCCTGTGTCCTTATTAAGTAATGGCGGCATACTCGATTGTGATAGAGGCTCGAGCCATCTTTCTGTTTCGTTAAAAACAACCACCCCATCAACCTATATAAACAACATCCAAAACACAAACACATAACTGTATATTTATCCCAAACTCTTTGGTGTTAGTCAGATTTTTTATTTAAAGGCTATATGATGGGGGAGAGAGAGTGTTGGCAGGAACTAAATTAGCACTTTATATTCCAGGAAGAAGTGAAGCGCCTCCATCCTTAAACACAGACACGTAATTAGATCCCAAATTGTATACTCATTTATTCATTTTTCAGGGTTATTACCGACCTGTCACCTGACGCCCCCGGGAGGGGGGGCTGAGTTTCAGCTTAAGCAGCAGCCACACACAGCAAATCAGATGCCAATCAGTTGGGTTTGCATGCGCAGGGTGCGGGTGTGGTGAACCTAGACAGCTCTCAGGAGGCAGCACTCGGCAATAGAAAACTTTCTGTGAAAAGAAGAGGTGACTGGTGGGAGGGAGCAGGACGGAGGTATAAGTAAGGGTAAATGGGGGAGATGCTCAGTTCCTGTTTGTGGGAAAAGGGTTCTACTTCACAAGTCATCTATAAGCCCCAGCAGGAGTGGCAGGGACAATAGGGCATCACCGAAAACAGTTCTTAGATAAAGGGAGGCGTTCCCTTTCGGGATGATGGATTCCCTCAAAGTCTGTCTCGCCTGGTGTCCCGCTACCCGGCGCCCACAGCGCCAGAGCCAGCGCTCCCCACCCCGGCACCCGGAACCCCGCTCCCACTCACTCAGCACGCAAGATCGGGCAGGCGTGGGGGGGTGATGCTGCCTCTCCCGGGCTCCCCGTGTCACCTCTGCTTAGTCTGGGGTCGGATGGGCCTCCTCAGGGTTGTTGCAGGGTCTCTCGAAAGTCTCTGCCTTGGAAAACGAAAGTACCACCTAAGAGAAAAGGGGAGCACTGGCCGCCCCGCCTCCTTCCGCGTCCACCAATCACCGCCGGCTGCCGAGCTGGGCCAATCGGAAGAGGCTGTTCCGTCGACGCGCCGCCTCCCTCTGGGGCCGCTGCTGCGCTGCAGAAAGGGTCTTAGCTTACGTTTTGGGCTGGGTTCCGGCACCGGTGACTCTGGCATCAGCCGTGTGTTGCAACTTGGCGAACTAGTGGTTATGCTTGCACATTTAGAGAACATTTGACAGGAAGTTCTCTGTTTGCAGAGTCCCACACTTGACGATTCCTGAATTAACCCCCCATATTTGAGAATCCGAGGCAGAGAGAGGTCTGGAGGTCCTAGTTTATATAAAGTCAATTTAGTAGCTGACTCCGGGAACGCTGGTGGAGCTCCCTCACTTTACTTGACTATTCAGAAACATTTCGCACAGTTGACATCTCCATTCTTCAACATTTCTTCCTTGACCATGTTGACTACATGTCTTCCTTACCTCTTCTACCTCTCTGGCTCTCCATCGCCATCTCTCCAGGAAACAGTTCAATGCTAAGCATCTTCAGGGTTCAGACCTCGGTCATCCCTACCTACATTTCAAGCAGTCTTCTGATGACCTCACCTACAGTTTCAGTTTCCTTCTGGATATAGAGGGCGCCTCCAGGGGTCTCCTGTGCACACCTGTGTATCCTGTCTGCATCTGTGGACTGAACCCCCAGTGTCAGCTGCCACTTGACTCTCCACTTGGATGACCGGTAAACCCTGCAAGCTAATTATGCAAGCTAAACTAAAACATCCTTTTCCCCCCTTTCTCTTCAAACCTGCCTTTTCCTGGAAATGGTGCATGACAGGTTGACAGATAACTAGGACCATCTTTGGCATTCTTTCTACTTTAGCCCCATGCCTGGTCCGCAAGCCTTGTTGATATTTCCCTATTATTCTCAAGTCTCATCACTTCATCTTTTACGATCCCACCCCACCCCTTTATCCCATTTGGATTATTGCAGTAAATTCCCAAATAGCTGTCAACTTCAGCTCTTTACTACCATTCAGTCCGTTCTCTAAATAGCAGTTTTCAGTAATATTTGTTTTAATTATAAAGCAGATCATGCATTTGCCTACCTGAAAATCTTATGATTACTTTTCTTATAAAATACAAAATTTTAATATAATTTACAAAGTCCTGGTTCCCCTATCACCATCTCTAGCCCATCTTGTACCCCTCTTTTGTTTGCTTACTTCAGCATTTTCGTTCCTCAGATAAGTTAAATTCTTTCCCCAAACGCCAGGCCTTCGCACTAGCAATTCTCCAGTTGGAAAGTCCCTTGAGCCAACATTCCCCTCCTCCAAGTTCTTTGTCTGTTAGCTCCTCTTTTATGTCTTAACTAAAATCTCAGATGTCACTTCCTCCAGGTAGACATTCTTGAGATCAGTCTTGATTAGATCACTTGAAATGTATACTCATGAAACCAATTGATTCTTTCATGTAGATGAGATTTGAATTAATCCTTGAATAATAAGGCAACCTTGTGTAGGAAAAAAGTTTAAATCCCCAGGGACATGCCTGTGCGTGTGTTGCTTTTTTCTTTTTTTTTACTCTTTCCACATTTGTACATCTCGGTCACACATTCACCCTCACAAAGCTAATACTGAATTGTTGGTAACAATCAGTGTACCCAAATGGCAGCCTTCTCTGAAAAGAGATGTCAACCTATTACAAAACAAATCCCTTCTCTTGCCACAGCGGTTGAGAAAAACTGATTCTAGGATGAATAAATATGTTAAAAGATAATCTAGCACTATACATCTTGCACAGAGAAGAACTATGTTTAATGGGGAAATAACTCATCTTGCCATCTGCAGCTAGGTTGTTTCTCGACATTCTGATTGTCATCAGGTTCTCAGGATGCTTTCTTCCCTGTCTCTTTATTTTCCTTTGTTTCATTTATTAACAATACACTATAGATGTCCATATCACTTCAGAATCACTGAGTTCACAGGAATCCTACAGTAAACTACTTTTCTCTTTTCCCGCCACTGTATTTGCCAAACTAGGACACCACGTTTACTACCATGCCCTGCTTGACAGTTCTCATTGCATTTATGATAAGTACAAACTTCATCTACCTATCTGGATCCCCATCAAATAGCCTCACCTTTCTTTCTAGGCTTGTCTCCCATTACCAAAACTTAATTTTAATTTCCCATTTCTACACTTCTGCACAAACTACTAACAAACTTTGCACACACTAAATGGTAAGTCCTGCCTCTCTCCCTTCAAAATCTCACCCAACTTTAAAACCAAGCCCAAATCTTATGTTCTACTTCTAAAGCCATTTCAACCTGTGATAATCAATCTAGTCCCTGAGAGAATATGTCTCAATTTAAACTGACACTTACCATGCACTCCCTTATACTGTGGTTTTTGAAGCATCCAAGCCTTACCTCCCACCCCCCACCAAGTTGTAAAGTTCCTGGAGAGCAAACTGCATGTATTTTTTAAGTGTTACTATTTAATATAGCTTAAAACAACCAACCCCTCAGCCCAATTAAACAAGGAACTAGAGATTTAGAAATGGCAGGCCCAGATGTGTGCTGAACAACGAAGGATAGTTACCTGGGAATGTTAGCTCTAGACTACCAACTTTGGAAAAATCACCACTAGAAAAGGTAATTACTACCAGGTCAAGAACATTGTATTTTCCTAATTTATTTCCTTTCCCGCACCCACCTTGCCATGGTTCCCTCGGTGGAATGCACCTCTGGTCTGTCCTTGTGAACAGCTGCTCCTCCTCCAGCCTCAGTGCTGGGGGAGTGGGAGGTGTAGAGAGTCCCCTGAACCTTGAACCTGCCTTGGAACCCAACTGCCACAGCCCCATGAAGGAGATATATTTATTGTGAAGTCATTAAGTTTTGTTTTGCCGCTGAAAAAGATGACTAACTCATAGAGGACAGAATCAAAATTCTAAATTATCTCAAGAGGCTAGAATGCTGCTGGGCGAAAACTAGTGCCACAAAATTTAAAACAGTAAGTGCAAAGATGTGATAGGGGACTTTTTGTAAAGCAACAAATGACAGGGTAGCCTGCTGTCAGGCCTCAGCTTCTCCACTCTTGTGCACATTGCTTTAGTTAGTCACTGGCTTGCCCTGGGAAATGCAGATAGGATGAAACACATGGTCAAGTGACTCATAAGACTCATTAAATCACATAATATTACAGAAGAAAGACTTTTTTTATTAAAGATTTATTTCCTTATACATACAGAATTGGGGTACAGGCCAGAGGTGCAGGGGCAGTGAGAGGATTCACCAGAGACAGTGGGGAGCAGAACAGACGGATGGATGAAGTACACTGCTGAGGGGAGCAGCAGGAAGGTCAAGAGAGGTCTGCTTTGCCTTGTGGGTCACCTCTAGGGCTGGGATCGAACTCAAGCTGAAGTGGCTTTAGCTTCTTACTGCTGTGCTTAACCTGCTGTGCCACCAGGGAGGGCCCAGGAGAAAGGCTTTTAAAAACCATTCCAGACCTCCCATGGGAATGAATTTATTTTCATTGGGAGCAAATTAGACAGTACTAGTCACTCTTCTCTTATTCTCTCATGTTCATGTTGTGTTTAATAATATTTACAATAACTGGAAGTGTAAAAAACACAATGCAGCCTACAACCTAAGGCAAAATGATAGACATTATCAATTAAACAATATCAACTACATAATTCACATTATAAGAAACCAGGAGGGACTTTCTGGAACACTGTTTTCAATAATGCTTTCTCTTTCTCTGTATCTGCACCCCTTTTCAATGTGACTATATAGCTCCTTCCAGCAAGATGTAGGACTATAAACCCATCCCTTGAATCTGGCCTAGCTAGTTACTTGTTTTGATCGATATGATGCAGCAAATGTGACATTGTGTGATTCTGAGCCTTACACAGCCCATACCTGCCCTGCGGTCACTCCCTGGATGGCAGGGCACACAGAACACACCTGATGGGTGCAGCAGTCAGGACTTAGGTCTCAGACACGTGAGAGACCAGACCAGGTCATATGGCTTAGGCACAGGTGGGCAGAATGCACAGCCTGCTCTGGTCTCACAAGCAATGGTACCCCACTCAGTTTTGGGGTAGTTTGGGTTGTGAGGCAGCAGTCAATCACTGGTAGAGTTTTTATAGGGGAAACAAATTTCTGGAGTGATGCAAGCCAGTTGCCTATTACCTTCCACCACCTTAATTCTTTCCAGGGTCTCAAGTAGTACCCTATCCTGTGTGTCATTCCCACATCCCTCTGAAACAGTTATTAGCCTTGCATTCTGTCTTCACAGCCGTCCTCTGTTTCAAAAAGACAGCAGCAATTCTGATGAATAAAATGTATAGTACTATATTTAAAGATTTCCGCCCTCCTCCCAGCAACCCTACCGTATTTTAGATATATTTTCCTCACGTTGGTAACCTAAATACCGATTAGTAGGACTAAATCAGTATCAATCATATCTGTTAATCTGTATCACAATGGGATTAAAACAAAGGACTGCTAAAATTCCTTGCAGTTCTAGGGATGGTCGTCTCGTACAATACCAAAGTTGTGCTTTCCAGACAATTTTGCGGCACTGGAAAATACCCAGGTATAAAATGTAATGAAAATGTAGAATGGAAAGCAGTATTGTCCTATTACTGTAAGGACATACAGAAATGTTAGTAAATCGAAACAGAGAAAGAGAAAGAGGAGGGGGAAGAGAGAGAGGGCGGGTGGGGGAAGAGAAATAGAGGGGGGAAGGAGGAGGGAGGGAGGCAGAGTGACAGAATGATTTTGAAAATATTCATGTTTCTGGGTGTTGTACACTTCTTTATAATTTTTTATTCCAATCCCCCTCCCCTATGTCTTTGTCCAGCATGATTGCGTTCACAATCCGCACCCCCTCGTGAACATTTTAAAACTCTGTGCCCAAACCAGCCAAGGACCGGAACACTCGCGAGGTGCAGCGCGCCCCAGTTTGAAAGGTTTACAAAACAGCGGGCGGGGCGCGCGGCGGGAGGGACGCGGATGCTCAGAAGAGCCGGCCCACGTGCTTTCGGGGAAACCAGCCGGGAGCGAGAAGGAGCTGGATTGAGAGGAAACCGAAAAGCGAAAGTCGGACTGGGTGGCAGCAGCACGCAGGCGCAGGCCCGGGGCTTTCCCGCGCATGACCCACTGGGCTCCAGGTCCCCAGCCTTGCGGCGGGCGGGGAGCTTCTCAGGGCGCCCCCTCCTCACAGGACAACCCCGAGCCACCCGCAGCTTTGCAGCAGGGAATGCAAGCACTGGAGAACTTCCCTAGCGGAGTCGAGTATGCATGTGCTTTAATTTAGGAGGTCGGGAACAGTTCTCAATAGTGTTTAAATTGCTAGAAAACTCATTCTTCCTATTTTTCTTGGATCTGGAAAAGTCCCTAATTCAGATCTTACCGTTTTTTCAAGCCTGACTCTCATCCACCTGGGGTAACTACCCTACATCAGAAATGCTAGTGGGGCTCTTTCAATTATCTTTTTTTTTTTTTTTTTTGGTTAGGTCTGCATAGGGTGCTTTCTTTGGGTTCTCTTCACTGCCTTCTCTTTTGCAGTGATTATACCAGGAATTTGAGAGAAGTATAATGGAGGACAATGGTTTGTCATGTAATTTCCAAAGACCCAGCAAAATAGTTGGCCCTGCCTGCTGTGTGTGTAGCTTATTGAGTGCTTGCTGGATACAGAGACTGGGTTTCTTTGGGCTCCCTCTAAATACTCTTAAAAAGACTTAGCTACCTAGGGACCAACCTAGGATGTCCACAGGGACAAGTGTCCCCCTAGTTAGGAGCTACCAGTACTGCCTAAATCATTTGCAGGGACTAGTGCGGAAGGAAATATGCAGCTCCTTATGCAATACACATTAAGGATGTCCAGAGGCCAGGGCAGAGTGTTAAACCAAGTGCTGAGCTCCTGTTGAAAGACCCTTGGGTGTACACAGGTAGCACACCCATGAATTCCCTGAAGGGGAAATTTGGAGGAAGGGAAGTATCTTTTGCAGAAACGGTGTTATGTGTTTTAGAACAGATGAAAATTCAGATATAATGAAACAAATTATAAGAAAAAAACTATAACACTGCTCCCTTGTTTAAAAGTGATCTTTACTTTAAAAGAACTTGAAAAAGGATTAGCAAAATGGACATGTCATTAGTTTGGAAAAGGTGAGAGAAGTGATTAATACTTTGAAAATAAATCTACATTTTGTTTAGGTATTGTTTGCTACCAATTGGTAGGGGAAAATTCTAAAAAATAAACAAAATTTCTAAATTCCGATGGAATTTAGTAAATGTATCTCCATCTCTGTGGCAAACCTGGAATAAACAGCTATCTCCAGATACCCCTAGACAAAATCTCATTATCCCCACAAAGATGATTTCCAGAGTGTAAAATTCACAGTATTGGGAAATAACTCTCTACCCTGGAATCAAGACCCTGTTTTGATATTCTAATATTAAAATAGCAGTTTACTAAACTCTTACTATGCAGACTCTGTCTCTATTATGGGGTGGGTGCAAACTACAGGTGTCCTTATAATTTCTACCCCAAGTAATGATGATTTCTGTGGGCACATGTGAAACCTTAGCAATCTACACTGACAAGTTTTAAAAACTATTGACTCAGTAAAAGTCCATCATACTTTTCAAGGGAATAAAAAGCCTCTGCACCTTTTTTTTTTTTTTTAAACTATCTAAATCTAATTGTTTAAGAGTTATTCCTGGTAGAAATTACCTCATTAAAGATAAAATTGTAGTAATCATCTAATAATTCAAAATAGCAGTCAGAATATATGGTATTTTTGAACTAGGCTTAGAATTAATTCCTCCAAGCGTGTGTTAATATAATTTTTGTAGACATATTCAGAAAACTGGCCTCGTAGAGGAGAGTAGACTGGGAGAATGTGTCTTGAGTCAGTCCCCTGGTCCTCTGTCAGACAGACACCTTTACATGAAGAGCACTATCAGGAGCTTGTAAAGGTGTAAGGGAACTGACATTGGGGCAGAGACAATAGGAACAAACTAGGATCTAGTGGAGTGCAAGTGGGTGGATATAAAAGGTGCAGTGGGTAAGATAGACTCTCTCCAAGGAAGAAGGCAGATTCTCTTAATTTTTTTTTTTCTGGCCCTCTCTGGTAGCACAAAAGTTCAGCATGCAGCATTGCAAGCGAGCCGCAGCCGCTTCAGTGCAAGTTCTACCCCTGACCCCGGAGGTGACCCACATGGCACAGCAGCCATTTCCTGTCTTGCCCACTGTGCCCCTCAGCAGTGTCTTTTTTGATTTGCTTGTTCTGCTCCCCACTCTGTCTCTGGTGAATCCTCTCGCTGCCCCTGCACCTATGGCCTGCACCCCAGTTTTCTATGCATAAATAAATAAATCTTTAAAAAAATTTTTTTCTTTGAAATTTTCCCCATCAGACATTAGTCCCTGCTTATTTGGATTTCCTGGGGTACAGGAGATGGGTGTGAGCAGTAGAGGGGAAACACTCTCCCAGAAAGGAGTGTCATTTCTGGCTTTGCAAACAGGGGAAACTTGGAAACAGCCTTTGGGGTTTTCTGTCACTGGTCGTGGCAGATGCCTTGGTATTGTTACTTCCTTACTTGACTCAGCAGCTTTCCTGAAGTCTGGCAGACACAGAGAGCTTCTGGGGCTTCTTAGTCTATTATTAAAGCAGCAGCTGGGTGATGAAACCACTAAACATCCAGATGGGGGAAAGTGAGGATCAAAATAGACCTCATATTTGTGCATTACCATCAGTATGTCACCTGCCCTCCTACACCAGAAAATACTGAAGAGATAGAACTTCTAAACCCCTCTTCCCAGGGATAGACTCGTGATGAGAATAGAGACGTATTAGAGCAGAAGGGCATCTACAGTCCACCTATAGCAACCTAGAGTCTAGGAGAGTCTAGAGAAGAGGAACATGCAACTCAGGGACTAAGTCACTTGCCGAAGGTCAGCATGACTGCTCTCCTCCCAGTTCATATTTTTACCCAGGTATTTGCTTTCAGTGCAGTTAGCCAGAGTTACCATCAGGAATGATTCTGGATCCATCTCTCTCCTAACAGGAGAGGTGTCCCGGGCAGTGGTACCAGCTGCTGAGAATCCCTCTTGGGACAATATTAACATGGAGTCATGAGTCATCCTAGGGAAGTGTGTGAAGGGCTGCTGGGGCGGCTTGTCAGGGTGTCCCTCTTGTTTCCTGTGTGGTGACTCTAGACCTGCTAGAACTCAGGATATTGGCTTCTGTTATATTTCTCCTAGCCTTCCTGCTGGTTTGTAAGTACTGTTAAGTGTGCTTTTTTTTTTTTTTTTTATTCTTGGCTTATTCTGAAATATTAACACTCAAACCTTCTATAATCAAAATCCTGGTAACACTTAAGGAATATCCTAAGAAACAAAATGAGATATAACTAAAACATGAGTCTTTTGTCAATATTATATTGATACTGGTTCCTGAAAGTGTCTCATTCTGCAAGTTCATCTGAAGCTTTGGTTTTTAGCATTTAAATCTTTACACTTCCCATGGAAGGGGGCAGACGGTGTCATGGCAGAGAGAGGAGAACTTCAGACTTCAGCCATTTCCCAGAAACTGGTATCAACAAAACTGAAGAAATAAGATGTGACTGTTGGCAAAGATCAGTCTTAAACTTTTTTGTTTGCTTCCTTGTTTTGAATGTCAAGAGTTCATCCTGTCATTCAGCAGAATATGGAGACTTCATCTAAAATTGAAAAATGAAAATGACCTTTAAGGAAAGCATTGTTTTGCAAATCACAATTTCTTAGGTAAAAATCCTCTTGTCTGCTTTACTGCATAAACTTTCTATCATTCAATACCTAAGTGTTCCTAAAATCAATCTGTCTGAAGCAAATGACAATTTCAATTAGATGAAAATGGGTTAAGAAGGCCTACTTCCCCTACCACGAACATCATGAAATGGGTACAAAATAGAGCAGAAGCCATCATGACTAAAGGTTTTAAAGACAATTAACACTGAAATAAGCTGTCAAAGTAGAATATTCCACATCCAAAAATCTTGAAAAAAAGAATGAAAAACCACCGGAGGGCTCAGGGACCCTCCAAGATTTGATTATTCTTACACATGTTATTCTTTCGCATGTAAATTGCAGTTTTACCACCTTAATGGTACTGGGAATGAGAACAGTTAGAATGCCTCCTAGGCCCTCCCTGGTGACTCAGTGGGTTAAAGCACAGCACTAAGCAGCTAAAGCCAATGCAGCATGAATTCGACCCCGCCTGCCCCGGAGGTGATCCACAAGGAGGGGCATACTTCTCCTGCCCCCACCCCACACCTGCTCCCCTCAGCAGTGTACTTCGTTGATCTGCCTGTTCTGCTCCCCACTCTGTCTTGGGTGAAACCTCTCATTGCCCCTACACCTCTGGCCTGTACCCCAGCTCTGTGTGCATAAATAAATAAATCTTAAAAAAAAAAAAAGAGAATGCCTCCTAAATCACTTTATTGCATTTAAGATTATGACTTAGCTCTTAGAAGAGTAGGCAGCAATTGATTGTCTTTTATATTCTACTTGTAAAAGGCACCTGGGACAAATAATGCAAGAAAAATTGGAATTTGTGGTGCTTGAAATGCTAAAATAAATGTTAAGCCAGGCTTATAAATATTAATAGTGGGATACAGGAATATTTTGACCTCTGATGACTTTTGGTGGAAAGAAATTAAAGTTGTTCAAGTAGATGAAGTCTTCGCTTTCATTGTCCATAACGCTAATAACACAGAAGACTGTATACATGCACCCCACATGTCATGCTCAGGAATATGTCCCAGAAATGTATTTTCTCACTGCGTGGGCGGAATTCTCGTTAGTCCCTTTGATTCGCCACCCCTTCTTTTTTTTAGAAATGCTCTTGACCAACAATGGAAAAGGAACGTACCGCAGTTTCAATTGTCGTGGGACTCAGATTTTCTCTCAGCACTGCGTAAACACTTGGAGACATGGGAAGAAGGTCCGATGGAGAGTGAGGCTCAGCTGAATCACTTCGGCTTAAAAAGATAACAAGGTAAATATTGAAAGTGAATAAATGGTAATAGCTAATGGTTACTGCGGGAGAATGCATGGCAAGGGCTTCCTCTACTTGTGATACTGATGCCTAGAACATATTTGCTTTCAGAGCATCGAACCTTCTTACCAAAAGGGCAATGTGGCAGTCACGGTGGACCATGGCGTTTTCTGATAGACCGGCTTTATGTTTTATAGGAAATGAAAGACTGAGCACTGAAATGCTTTATTTTTGATTGTATGAACTCTGCTCTACCCTTAAATGTCCTACAGGAGAACACCTTTTATCAAATAAATTCAATAATAATAATAAACATTTTCCATGTGACTAAGATTACTCACATTGTTGAGATGGGGATAAAAACAGAAGGAACATAACCCTTGTCTCCTCTTTCTGTTGGTCTTGAAACTAGAAAAGAAAAGCACAATGTAGGTAAAAAATGTTAATGTGATTAGCAAAATAAAAATCACCTAGAAAAATATAAACAAAGCTAAAGAAAAGAGCTACAATACCGTTGTTTAGTAATTCATAAACATTTTTAGTTGACTAGATGAAACCATAATTTAGATGAGCATAAAATATACAAGAATTGAGAAAGTAAATCTCTTGCTAGACTTAATCTGACTTTACCTATTAACATCTTTAAAATGCATGAAAAAAACTAGGAATCTACTATATTACTTGTATTATCTGTCTTCATGTTAAATTTAAGTCGGATTATAAGAACTCATTTTTTCCCCATGTACTGGGGGATTTATAGTAACGCAGTTCTTTTTATTAAAACTGGTAGCAATCATAATCTTATGATTATCCACAATTTTAAGGCACAGAGAGTGTTATTAAAAATGCTAATAGTGGTGAGTCACTCTCATCGGGAACATTTTCCAAGATGCTATGGGAGCTGGGTTGAACTTGTGCTTGGACCAATTGTAATTTAGTTCAACTAATTTTCAACTAGAATTTGTTGCGTTAACAACAAATTGCAAAATCTGCATTGCAAAATGCCACAGCAGTTTGTGGTCTTCTTTTGTATTTGTGTTCACTTGTTTCAGAGGGGCATGAAGTTGAGTGGCAATCAGTCCCACCACCTGCAAGTGATACCTGCAAGATATTCCACAAGATGGTGTTCATAGGCTGTAGGTAGAAACTTCTATAGATTATAGTTACTTTCAATAAGGAAACAGAATGGTGACCTTGCCTGAAATTATAATACTAATAGCTAATTTCATGAATGCTCTTTCATGTATTCAATAGACATTTATCAAATGCCTGTTTTGGTCAGGTTCTGTCTTAGGACTTTGGGAAACCACCAGAAGGCAGACATGTCATGACTTGTTATAGGTAAGTTATAACAGACCCCAAGTGCCCTCTCGGTATTGCAAATGAACAATACTGTGTGAACTGTGAGATTACAGTAAGGTAAAATACATGAAAAAGAAATCCTGGACTTCTCTTGCCAAAAATAGATTTGTATAACTTTTTTATTTATTTATGCATACAGAACTGGGGTACAGGCCAGAGATGCAGGGGCAGAGAGAAGATCCACCAGAGACAGAGTGGGGAGCGGAACAGGCAGATGGATGAAGTACTCTGCTGAGGGGAGTAGCGGGCAGGTCAGGAGAGGTCTGTTACGCACGTGGGTCACCTCCCTGGCCAGGGATTGAATCCACGCAGCTGCGGCCACTTTGCAGTGATACATTTTAGCCCACTGCGCCACCAGGGAGAGCCCAATTTGTGTAACTTTTAACAACTCTCTATTGTTACCTCCTTCCTCTCTTCTCCCTTTACTCCTCCTGTTATAGCAGTAAAGTGAGCATCACTCCAACTTACTAGGGAGAAAAACCAGAGCTCTATGAGTGACTGCGAGAGGCCGCATGGCCGGGGGAAGGCTGGTTGCAGTACTTATTACTAACACCTGCTACAGCTGGACAGCCCCATTGGGCCTTTTTCTGGAGCTGCTATTACACCACTTTATTTTTAAATAAAGGCTGTGACCTCCACAGGCCCCTGAGATCTTATAAGCATCCAAGTAAATATAAAAAGAAGAACTTCATCTGCTGCAATATGAGGTTATTTTCCAAAAATCTTAAGAAAACAAGTAAATATAAGGCACCTAACCTTCACATGGCTGAGAGCTGTAGTGTTTACCAAAGGCTTTGTCTTTGGGAATGTCAGGGTACAGATACTTCAGAGGGTTTTCAGGTATGTTTTCTGCCATAATAACCTTGTAGTCTCGAAGGATGTCAGCGAAGGGCAGAGCAGACAACCGACCTTTATTGTAGGGTTCTACAGAGTGGAATCTCACTTCTCCTGGAAAAAAACAGGAAGTGGGGAGTATTCAGGCTTTTGCAGGCATTCTTGTGGGCTTTCTTCCTGCCCACACTACCTTCATGTCACTGGTTGTAAACAATGCAGCCCTTCTCTGCAGATTGTCACACACTAGAGGACACCCACACAGACTGTGAAAAATTCACGGCACCCTGTCTGGGACATTTGTAACAACTAATATTCAAACCCACTGAACATGTGAAAATATCATACCATATACTTCTGAAAACTGAAATACTAAGAACCAAACTCAAGAATACAGCAGTCACATGAATAAATAGTAGCAAGAGTGTACCATTTTCTGAATGGTCTACCCAAGTGAAAGTTATTCCTCCAAGATGGCTTTCACTGAATCTCAACAAAAAGGTTCCAGGCATTTTGTCCTTCAGCAAGAGCCGTTCCTTCTCTTTGCTGACAAAGCCCATGACATACCTAAAAATAGAACAAGGCATAATTTAGTCTCTCAGTGTCCGTAATTTATTGCATTCACATTTAGTTTATTAACAAAGAAAAGGCTAAATTTGTTGCTAGTACAGTTGAAAGTCAGTTGTGCCTGAGATAGTCTTTTACAGATTAAATATCCTCACTCTGAAGAATGCAAGAAACTATTTACCCCCCCCACACACACTAAATATGCTTGAAAAGAAAAAGACCATTGAACGAGCAAGCAAACAACAAAACAACAAAACCCCTATCACAAAACAATAGCAAACCTCCCCCAAGAATCTAATACACTGTGGAAAATATAATTTATAACTCACCCATCAATCCAAAGGGGAAGAATATGTTTCTTAATTAGATCTAATATTGCTTCAAGCCATGTCCAAAAGGTAAATGATTTACCAGGTAAGTGTTCCTGTTAAATAAACTCATTAGGGCATGATAATTCCAAAGTACAGGTGACATAATAATTCAAGTTTTACTTTTTAAGGAAATCTTTTCTTTTAAATGAGACAACACTGTAGAATTTCTTTTAAAAAATCTAATCCAGGAAATCCTCAAAATTCGATGATGCTATGGAAGTTTAGAAGGGTATTATTTTAAAAAGAGATTATCAAAATGATATTTCCCTCTCCCCTGTTTGTACCTTGCAGAACTTGGCCCAGGTAAGATGACCATCACCGTAGCTAGACTGGGCTGAAATAAAAGGATGAGCGTGTTATTAAGCAATTAGATGATTGTTCCATTTGGTGCTCAATTTAGATGCTACCCTCCCCCGGCACCACAATGCCATTGTGATGACCACTAATATTAATAATAATGGTTATTTCACCTTGGTTCTTTAAAATATTTCAGTACTAAAAATAGAGGCAGATCCTCAATATCAACCAGCTCTCACCTGTGAGTTTCTCTGCCAGCATATTGAGTTGATCTGAATTAAGGCCCCGACCCACGTAAGATGAAAACTGCCAGCTCATCACTTCTAGGAGTTGACTCAACGTAGCAGAGGGGGGATTATTAAAGAAAACCAAGTTCTGAAATAGAGTTGTAATGGTAAATATATTTATAACATTGAAAACACCATAATTGATAATAGCGTTCTTGACTTAAGCTCACTAGGCTAACCTGATCTGACAGCACAGAAAATACTCTTACCTCTACTGTGCTTTTTGAAACTGTTTATTTTTAAAGAGTTCCGTGTTTGTTGAGATTAATATAATATAGGGCCCCATCTTATCCTTGAAAGAATTGCTGAGTATCTCTAACTTTCTCTGGACATTCAACTCTCAGTATCTTAAACTTTCACAATGTTATATGTCAACTATATCTCAATAAAGCTGGAAAAAATAATCAGGCTTATACTCGTTTATAAATAATATTAATCTTAAACAAAACCTATATCTTCTTATTTACTTGGTTTGTTATGGGTTGGTACAAATTTTGCCTTGGTCAATTAAAACATCCCAAATTTCAAGAGTAGTTAATTCCCAAAATAAGGTAACCCTATTATATGAATTCATGATTAACCTTGGGTTCTTGTTTTATATATATATATATATATATATATATATATATATATACAGTGTACTACTTTATTCAGGGTGTGCTCTAGAGAGGAGAATCTTCTGTATAATCAACCTCAATGAGATTGTTTGTAACAGAAATTGGGTCAGGAATAGGGTAACAGCAGAATTTATCACAGATTACTGGAAAGCAAAAGTTGTGAAAGTCAAGAAAGAAGCTCCTAAATGTTCAATATCACTTATCTGGGAAATGCAAATCAAAACCACAATGAGATACCACTTCACATCCGTGAGAATGGCTCATATAAAAAAAAAAAAAATAGAAGCAACATGTGCTGGTGAGGGTGTGGAGAAAAAAGGAACCTTCCTCCACTATTAGTAGGAATGCAGGCTGGGCTCCCCCCTAAGTAAAACTGTGGCATTTCCTCAAAATATTAAAGGCACTTTACTATATCATCCAGCATTTCCACTCATTGATATTTTTCTGAAGAATGTAAAAACACTAATTCAAAGAGGTAGATGCACTCCTATGTTTATTACAGAGCAATTTACAGTAGGCAAATTATAGAAGCCAGTGCCCAGTGACAGATGAATGGATAAAGTATGTGGTGTGTACACAATGGACTATAAAAAGAAATCTTGCATTTGTGATGTGGATGGAACTGGAGGAGGTCATGTGAGGTGAAATAAATCAGAAGGAGAAAGACAAATACTGGATGATTTGTGGAATTAAAAAAGACTACTAAGCCAAAAAAGCAACCCTTGAAATCTGACTAAAGAATTGAGGCAATGAGAGGGGAAGGGTGGAAAGTTTGGAACAAAGTTGGCCTAGGGGTTAAGTTTCCAGTGTTCTCACTGCAAAGGCCTGAATTTGATCCCTGGCTAGGGAGCTGGCCCAGATATGATGCAGCCGACCTCTCCTGTCTCACCCATTCTCCTCTCAGCAGTGTATTTCAGTAGCTCTGCCTGTTCTATGGATCTGTTCTTTGTTCTACAGAGATCCCCACTCTGTCTCTGGTGAATCCTTTCACCCTCTCCCTGCATATCTGGCCCACACCCCAGTTCTTCTATGCATAAATAAATAAAAATAAACCTTAAAAAAAAGGCGGGAAGACAGCCCAATAGACTTTGGTAAAGAGTTTTTGATAACTTTTGTGGTGGATGTGGTATGATAAATATATTTGAAGAGGTATGAATGGCTACTCCTAAATCACATACAGTATTGTTGATTAACATTATCTTAATGAAGTAACTTAGTTTTAAAAAAAATTCCCCAAAAAGAAGGGGAAGAAATGAGAAATCTGGCATAGTACATGGAGGAGGCCACTGGTGAACCTCAGTTAACCTGGCAGCAAGAGAAGGAACCAATTCAGAAGGAAGAAATCGCAGAGGACAGAACATCCAGCCAGGATAGAAAATGGAAGACGGGGAGAAATGGAGAGAATTTCTAGGGAGGTAGTTTACCTTGGACTTGAGAATCACATCTACATAAATGACAGAAAAAGCCATGCACTGTAAATCAAGTTCTGGGAGCTTAGTCTTTGAAGCAGAATAGAATTAAGAGGAGAAACTATAGTTAGTTGTTAAGCTGACTCTGTAAGTAGGCTATGCATTATGTTTTAGGAGCTATATCTGAGCTACATCTCCAGATTCCTCTTCCTGGAGCAGAGACAATTTGGAATGGTTAGTGTGACAAACTTTGGTGACTTTCTTTTATAGAAGGATGCTAAAGAAAACGAAGTCAGGCTGCTTTGTACTCTGGGACTGAAGACAGAGAAGTAGCCTGTCTCCTTTTCATCCTGGAGTCAGATGAGAAGCTCTAAATGTGTGTTCCTAAGAGGGAATGGCAGTTAGTTTATCTCAGGGGTGTTGGCTCTTCTTGCTCTTAAAGGCCAAGTGACTTCTTTGTGGGCAGAGAGGAGCAGGCATAGTGAATTCCATGTAGTCTTCCTCTCTGTGGTTATCTGGCTCAGATGCCAGGGCACTTGAGGATGAGAAGGCATAGGGCTGAGTCACTTCCATATTGCTTCCTTATTAGCAGTATCAAATACAAAGAAAATCACACTTAGAGCTGCTTCATTTTGCCTGTTCTTATTGCTAGGATTGAAGTTTAAAAATTCTTTCCTTTGGAGGGAATATTTGCTTTGAACTCAAAAGAAATTCTGTTATTTTCATCTTACCTATTCTCTCTAGACCTGGGTAGTTTCCAGGACAACACACTGAGGTTTTGTGGGAGTGAGAAAGGGGAAGTGCTGATTCATCCCTTTTGTCACTCACTCCCTTCCCTGGTTGTCATTTAAGAACTTCTGTTCTCTGCTTTGTAATTTGAAGACAATTTTCGGTTGGTGCCTTAAGTAACCACCAGATGTCAGTAGAAGCCAACTTGAGCCTAGAGTGGATTGAATTTATAGTCAACTCAAAAATGTTTGCATCACAGTACTGTTGGTACTGTAACTGTCACGGTGTAGTTAGGCAAGATTGAAGATGTTCTGCTCCCTTATTTGGAAACCAAATGTTCACCTTTGTAGAAGAAACTGTGTGGGAAATGTTGCCAGGTGTAGTTGAGAAGGTAAACATAACAATCAGGCACTGGATTCCAGGGCAAGGATTTTGTCCATAGCCCAGCCTCGGAATGCTCCAGACTGCTCTTTATCTACAGCTCTGGGAGCAGAACAGACCTCAGAAATAACAAATACCTGTCTAGTTAGCCAGCATTCCCTTAGGGTCCAAGTTTATCAGAATACATTACTTTAAATATGACATGAGACAGGAATCATGCAACTAAAAAATTGGAGTTCTGGAATAAACCCTTAAAGACATGAAATTAGTGGGTGTGTGTTTCAATGCAAATGAGTTTTGTTGACAATATAATAAACCAAATACAGGGAATTGAAGAGAAATGTAAGAGACTACCTGGGAATCGTTGGTGGACACATTGTACCAAATGATGGATGCCCAGGCATTGGGTAATTGACTGACATTGGAAATCATCACCACAGGTAATGAGCTGGTCTGTTTTAAAGGGAATAAAAAGCAAAGTTATTACATGTTGTCACAACCCTACATTTACCTTATACTAGATCATTTCCCCCAAAGGATCATCTCAAGCTAATTCCACACCACTGGTCTTGGTGTCTACTCTGCTCTGGTCACTAAAATGAATTAAGAAAAGGAGCTATAAAAATAAGAATTTATTCAGATAGCTCAGTTAGGCAGCTTCTATAGTTTCCTTATATCAGGTAATACACCTACTATATCACCTATGAGGTGATATTTAGTTGCCTAAAATGCAACCAATTAGAGTTGAATAGACTTAGCAAATATTGCCTTTGTAAATAACATCAAAGAACCCAATTTTAAATATGCCTTTGGAATGATCAATATATTCCAAGAAGGATTTAGCATGCCATCAGTACCAGTACTAGAGATGGCAGTTGTAATCGTAGAAGTTGAATAAGCAAGTCATTTTAGCACACAAAATCATACATGCATTTAAAGAGAGAGCTGTCTGGGCTGGTGTTGCAGACCGAGCATTGTACTGCTGGAACTGTAACTGTCTACCTTTTGGAATAAACACACGTTCACAGATTAGATGGGGAACTCATCAACTTACAGTAGTCCCCTCCCAATAACAGAGGTCAGATTGCTATAGACAAGTAAACACTCATTTGGGGGAATTTAATTGCTCGTGGAGACACAAGGTTAGGGAAAAGGGTTGAAGAACAAATCTATGCATGGTTTTATAAACATGTCTACATTCATTAAGATAAAAGAATAAAGGCAGGACTATAAACGACGTGTCCTACAAATAGTGTCAGGATGTATGCAATTGGGTTCATTCATGCCTCCTTCATCCATCTGTTCAGCTACTGTTGGCACCTACTATGTGGCAGGTATTATGTAGCCACTGGACAAATGAGGCATGCTGTCCTGCCTTCAGAGAGCAGAGGATCAAAATGTTCACCTCAATCCCCAAACTTTCTTTACTCCTTCTTTGAGTTAAATGGTGACAGTTACAGGAGCGTCAGAACAATGTACTGTTAATGTTCTCACAACCTGGGAAACAAATTATTCAATACACAGAGAATTCATTATACCCATGAGATTTTAACCCTTTATATTTAACCAGAGTAGTATAGGTTGAGTTATTAATGAATATTTAGCAAATTGCTTGTCTAAATTAAAACAAAATAGAAAATGTGCTAAAGCCTAGCAAAGACTGAGCTTAAATCTATAAATGCTGTCCAATTCCTGCAAATGTCGTTTGTAAACAGGAGACGTTCCTTGCAACACCTACCTCCACATCTATGGTCAGGCCATAGAGGCAAATCTGTGTCTCGAAGGCTATGGAGTGCAGCTCCTCAGTGACCATGTGACAGCCCTGAGGAAGAGGGAACCCGATTGTTACCTTCACGATTGTCACCTGCTTTCTACAACCTAGAAAAATGAATATTCTTCCAGTAAATGGCCCTTATGATTCACTATATGGAACATTTCCTCTTGTTCTTTCAAAAATATTTAGAGCTGAAAGAAATCTTTATTTCCACAAGCAGAATAATTTTAAATCTTTAAAATAATATTCTTTATTAAAATCCCAGCACATTTTTATCAGTTGAAATTCAACTGACAAATTTTAATTTTTGAAAATTAGCCTTTTGTCTTATCAGCTATTAATAAAAGCAAGCCATACAAGGAGCTATAGCAGAAACAGCTCAGTAAGCACAATCTTTTCTTTTTAAAAAGAAAGCAACATTTCCTTCTGGTTAATCATGGTAGGTGAGATGCATGTATTTTCCTCTATTCCCATTAGAAAAGTCAATAAAGTAACACGAGTTTTGTTTACTTTCCAATAAAGTAAAACTGCAATCTAGATCTCTGAGCAAGAGTTAGGGGCCTGAGGTTGAGGATGGGGCTAACAATCCTGGTGCCTCAGAACCTCAGAACTCTGGGGCTGGGAACATTGCGCAACACTCCCCCCCTCCCCCCCCCAGGGGTCTGAGCGCAAGAGAGCTGAACAGGAGCCATCAGTAGCAGCTGCAGCCTATGAGGAGGGTTCACTCCTGCCGAACCCTGGGAATGATCAGATTTACTCTCTGGACTGGATGAATCAAAAGAATAGTAAGGCTCTCTGCATTCTGGGTGCAGGGTTGACAACAGAAGTCAGATACTGTGACAAAGAGGGGAAGACCCTGGGGGAGAAACCATGCCTTTTTCTGGGTTTGACCTCTGCAGGAAAGCATCTGAGAAGCGTACTTGGCCCAGGGAGACAGATAGGGATAGTGCCTTTAGGGCCCCTTCAAAGAGACAGCCAGTTCCTAATAATCCTCCTTAAATAAACAAATGCCATCATACACATGAAAACTTCCAGGTAGTTTTGGTGATCTTCTCATAAATATGAATTGCAAGCTAATGATCATCAACAATTGACAAAGGCAAGTTTCACATGACAAAAAACAAAAATGAAGGCCTCAGGAGAAAAGAAGCAATGTTAAAAGCAAAACAAAATGTATATTTAGTTTGTTCAACAAATCAACGGCATGGGAAGGGGGTAAATAAACCAGTTGTGACAGGAGGACATTGCTTAGACACTGATTTGTATCCAGCTACAAAAGGCTCTTGAGACAATGGAGACATTTTGAACAAGTAATAGGGTTTTATTACTTAAGAAGTTATTTTGGATTTTAAGATGGTGTTTTGGATTTTGTGACATGCATGTTGTGGTTCAGTCTTTTAAAAGACAATTTTGTTGATTTATCATTCCAATGGTATCAGTTTCAGGAGCACAGCTTCACACTGGACATGCGTATGTATCTCACCCATCCACCACTGCGGCCCTGTGCCATTCACTTCATCAAACTGACCTGCCCTATTTCTCCCATTCCTCTTCCTTTCCCTTCTGGTAATCACCATTTTTTTTTTTCTCAGAGTCTAAGAGTTATTTTTGCTGTGATAGTTCATTTGCTCAGGGAATGGGTTTGAAGTAGGACAGAAATTGCTGTTTCCCCAGATGAATTCTTAAAACCCCTCTCTGTGTGTCCAGAACCAGTAATGCTGTTATCTTCTCAGAGCTTGTTGGAAAAACAGGCTTCCTCCCAGGCCTACTGAGTCAGAGTCTATGTTGTAACAAGAACCTGGGTGGAATTTGTGAGGTAATTATACTCAATGTGGCGTATCCACATTGTGTTTAGTCTCAAAAGGAGGTGGAAATTCGGAGATGGTATAGAAAGCTTAAATGACTTTAAAAATAAGCCCTGTGGGAACATATGAACAGAAGTGATATTACGTAGTCTAAAAATGTCAGGGTGGAGTTGGAAACCACAGCTGTAGAAGAAAGGGAGATCTAATGTTGGATATATGTTAGTAACAAGTTGCAGTTCATTTATATAAACTTGAAATAATGAGATTCTATATGATATAACTATTACAATGAATAAAGCAGGTGGTTAAAAACATGTCAGAAAGACCTTATTGCTATGAAGAATGTTAATTCTGGTTACATCATAGAGTACATTAATATTGCCCTGGGTGGTACAATTTGCCAGAGTGGATTCCAGTAAGATTCCTTCTTAGTGTGTCTTAGCAGAAAGTATGTCAATGAAAATGCCTTTAACTACTAAAATTACCCCAGGACATCGAACTCATCAAACACTTGCTTTTTCTTTGGTGGAATGTGAGATGAAGCAGCTGGCTTGTATATAGGCACCAAGTTGAACCAAAACCACAATTTTATACAATAGGAAATCTCACTGCCATATGAGATGGTGCTTACACTATGGAAAACACAGGGGCAACTGAAAAATTCAGTCTCTTGTTCACTAATAGGTGCCTTTCACCTCTACAGATTTCATTGTCAGACAGGAGGATGCAAAGTTCTACAGAGCATTTAAGAGGCCTGAGGCAAGCACACAGATGGAGATCCATATACCGTATGTCTAAATATTTAACCATTATAAATCAAGTTAACAAACTTAAAATGTGGGTTACCTCCCGTCTAAACCACAACACCTAAGCTTCCACACCCCTTATTTTGCCAGGTTTTAACTCCTTAAAGTCCCACTGCAACATGGTAGCTTTGAGATAATGTGCTATCCTGGACCACTGCTTACCTCTCCCACCTTCCACCTCTGTGAGGGTGCCTCATGTGACTGGTGTGACCCCTGCTTGTGCTTAGAAATGTGTGCATTGATAGTACCTGATGTGCTTGGGAGAGTAGACCTGGGGAAGGGGCCATGAGGGCCCTGGGGGTGGGCTTGCCAGCTCTGGGGCCGGGTTTCTGTTGTCCTGGACTCTGGGTGATCACATGGCCTTGCTCTCACAGACATCTTTGGATGTAGGATGGGCCAATGGGAGCCATCCAAGGGGAGTCCTAGGAGTACGAGGTCCCATGCCTCCCTCATTCTAGCCTTTACAGTCCATAATTACATCCTTGTATGACTGGATCATTCACTATGGGTAAGTCCCTCATGCCTTGAGTATGGCACCGTGTTCACTAAAGTGGCAGAGCCTTGAAAAGTGTGAGGACACTGGGACTACCCAGACAGAATGACGGCACTTGGGGTTGTCCATTAACTTTGGAAAAAGACTGTGTGCCTTAACTGTGACTTGACTCGACTGGAATGTGGATGGTGAAAGGTTTTCTCTGTGGTTTAGACTTATTTCTAATGTTTACTTAAAACCCTTGACGCAATTATGAGGCACATTTCGAATGAAATCTGGCAAGTAAGCTGACACACAACAAATACAACTGGAGAAAAGTAGCTCTGACAAAAACATCATTAATTGTCTGGTTTTATTTTTTTAGTGCAGTCCAAACCAGAGGTAATATTCCATGTCACATTCCGAGGCTACACGCCTTACAGACTGAGAAAATATTATAGGTAACACGTATCATTACCATCTGTATTCAAAGCCTTTCTAATCACCCAAGATGATAGCTGCAAGCTAATGGAACTTGTCAGGCTCTTTCCAGCCTCCCACCGTTAGCATCTGTGATCGGCACCTGCTGGGTTGTACGCATGCGCGATGGCGGGCGCCTGGAGTACGGTGTGGGCATGCGTATAGGTGGGCACGCCTGAGCTGGGAGACAGAGGATGTAAGGGCGGCGTCACAGAGGGTGGTGTGGGGCGGAGAACAGCTACAAGGAGGTAGTTGTGAGAGGAAAAGACCGCGAAAGAACGCCAGAGAGCGCCCAAAGAGAAAACTACAGATTCCGGGGGGCTGGGAGGCCTGCCCGTGTCCGGCCCCCAGGCCTTCCGGCGCCCCTGCTAGCTGCCTCTGTTACAAATGGTGTAACACATCACTGAAAGCCTGAAAAAGCCACTGAGGTCTCCAGGACTCTTCTTTACTCATCTCCCAAGTTGATGGAGGCTGGCAATCCCGGGCCTTGCTGGGCTACACTATCCGGATGTATGCTACTACGTGGTGAGGTATAAATGAAACTCCCGCAGGCTTTTAGGCTGTTGGCCTCCGAGGGCGCGGGCACGCATGCGTGATGGGGCACACCTGGAGAATGGTGCAGGCAGGCGAAAGGGGCACCCTTAAGCCTGGAGGCTGAGCATGTATAGGTGGCGTCCCTCAGGACTGTGCGGCAGAGAACGGTGAGGACGAGACCTGGGGAAGAGGCCAGAGAAAGCTCAGGGGAAAAAGCGTCTGGAGATTCTCAGGGGGACCCCAGGTTGCTCTCCCGCTGCTCACGATTAGAAACCTGTGAGGATGATGCCAAGGGCTCCAAGATTCTCTTTTAAGCTGCCTGACCCGACGGTGAACCTACCTGGCCTGGGATGGTCGCAGAACACATGACACTGCATTGTACTATACTTATAAAGAAAATTACCCATTGGGTAATCAACCATGAAACTGGTAAACAGGCTGAACTTCTTGACCAGGGCTCTACTTGGGAAAAAAGCATCGCCTACTGACAGGTAGGTCTGGATGTCACCATATTCTTTATTGTTTTCTGTGCTCAGTGCCTAAAAGTACACCCTGGTAATCTAGAATATATTAACAAGTGGTTATGACATCTGACTTGAAAGAAAACCCCTGCTAAGGATATTTGACTGGGATAAGGATGATTTTCATGAAAACTTCTTGTTCATCCCTTAATAAACTATTATCTATGATAATGTTGCACATAAAAAACTATTTAGAATAGGAAAACAATTACAATAATCCACTAAATGAATATTTATCTAGTACATGAGTTAAACACTGGGATCGATGTTGAAAAATAGTAAGAGGGAAACTAAATGGTACAATAGCATTGATTGACCTCAATCACAGATTGAAAAAGGAAATGAATGTAAAATGACAACTCAGGCCATAAAATGAGAGGACTATCAGGAGATGTTGCATTAAAAAGTCGACATTTTTAGCATTATTCTGGTAGTTATGTCTCTTTAAGAGCATTGCAACTGCTTACATTAGTTTATAAGGAAATCAGCTCCCTGTGAAAATCTGTGGGCTAGTTGGAGTGTGAGTAGTGTATCTGTGTTTGAGAACACTGAACCTTGAAAGAACATCTGTTTGGCTATTTTGTTAAATGAAACTCAAGTCACCCAGGCTTTTCTAATAGCTTCTTTGTGCTTCATGACTTTCCACCACATAAACAAAATTACCTAACACCTCGGTCTGTGGCTAAAACTGTCATTTATCAGTTAGAGCCTAGTGACGTAGAGCAAACTGGAGAGACTATTTCAGTTTCCCTACTCAGTTTCCACAATTCGCCAATCACTCTCGAGCTGACTCCCTGCCGGATCTAAGGAGCTGCAGGAAAGGTTGCTTCCTGCGGTTGTTTACTTTACAGTTACCTATAGATGCTTTTAAAGGTTGGCTGCTTGCTAGGTAATAGAATTATTTCTTCACCCTGATTCTTCCAAAGAAAGAACACAGGGGAAGTAATAGCTAACCTTGGTTTTCTGACAGTGCATCCATAGGTTTCTCAAGGCCATGTTATGCAATTCCAAAGCAAAGGCTTCAATTTACATTCATTTAAAAAAGTGAAAAGACTGGTTTGTTGCTTTTTCTCAGATTATAGAATCTTAGTCAAAGGAGAGTCAAAGATTATTTAGTCCAATGGTTTTCAAATACTTTTACCGTTAGAGCTTACTCATGAAGGCACATTTCCCAATCTGTAAAACACATAAAACTAGAGATATCTCGATTGAAACAGAGGTAGGGGACCCAGAGCTTCACCTTGCACCAACCCTATATCCAAAGGAGACTTCTAAGATGCCTCTTTGGTCTCAGTGGGTCTTCTGGACACAGCTTGAGTCTAATGCCACTTCCTCCACTGAATCCTGCAGTCAGGAGTCCCTGCTCAGCCGAGTCAGGAGTCCCTGCTCAGCCGGACAAGTTACCTCTTCTTGGATAATCTCAGCTCATACAACCACGGTTGCAATTCCAAGGAGGCTGGGGAGACTACCATATGTTCTCGGTCAGTTAATAAGTACCCAATCCAAGCTCCTCACAGCCACAAGAGTAGAACTGAGGGATCTAAAATGGTGTGTGTGTGCACACGCATGTGTGACAGAGGTGGGGGTAAGGGAACCAGTGGGGTGGTGCTAGGAACCCAGCACATGAAGTCCATTAAAAGGGTGTGCCTACATGGCCGTCTGAAGTGTCAGGCAACTGGAGCCTACAGGAGGATATGCTTTGAGGACCTTAAACAAGATGTCTCCAGCAGAGCACTTGGCAGGGGGCAGAGCCTTCCAAAGGTCAAGTTCCACCTTTGGAATAATTTCCTCAGCTCTGTAAATAACTGCTTCTCACCGCGAGGCAGCCTGAAGGGCTGATCAGAAGCAGCAGCACAGACCTCTGCAGTGCACATCACAGTTGACTCACATACACACTGTCTCTTCTGGTTCTGTAACAATCCTAGGAAATGCAGACTAACATTATCCCCATTTTATAGCCAAGGAAATTGGGAGTTAGAGAGGTTAAGTGACTGCACAAGGTCAGCTGCCTGTAAGTGGCACTGCCACTCAGTACTACTTCCACTCCCCCACCGATGCATAGAGTAGATAGGAAGAGGGTCAGCGACACTTTTAAAGGCAGCCTTCTCTTGAATTCTTTGCAAGGTTCTGGTACCGGAAGGCTATGCAATTTATGAGCAGCTGGGCAAAGTGAGGACAGTAACAAAAGCAGCTGAGAAGAAAGGTAAGGTACCACCTGCAAACACGCAAAGATCTCTCTGACTGGAATCCCAGCAGATGGAGGGGGCAAGATAAGTGTAGGGAGGTAGGGGGTTAAAAAGTAGTGTCTACCCAGCGCCTCCTTCAGAGAGGGTTTTGTGATTCCCCAAGCAGCCTGGCAGAGTGGCCAAGAACATGAACGTGGGGATCAGGTTGCCATGGTTTGAAACTTGGACCAAGCACTTTGTGCCTCAGTTTCCCTAACTGGAGTAACAGTATGCAATTCATAGCACTGTCACTAGAGTTCCATCATGTCAGTGAGCTCTTAGGGTACAGTGTATATAACAAGTGCCACACCATGATTTGTTAAATGTTCATCAGGCTGTGAAATGCCACAGGTGCTCAAGGGTAACGATGACAGGCAACTTTTCAAAATTTGACAATGAGCTTATGATACTTCCTGATTTGGGGAACTAAAATTTTGGAGACTACAATCCCTGACCCTGTGGCTTTGCAAAGTCCACTCGATTATCCGATCTTCCCCAGCTATTCCTGACTTCCTGACATTTTTGTGGTCACCGGTACTGAGCATCTTAGTTCCCTGACCCCTGAGCTCATCCTTCTGAGTCCTTGTCACACATTTTATGGCTTTCAGTTATTCCTGTAGCACATAAAATAACATGAAGCCCTTGGTTTTTTAAGTGTACCTAGGAGTCATATTTCTATCAACAGGGGGAGCTCAAAGAATAGCTTAAAATTAAATTGGATCTAGCAAGTTAAAAAGAAAGAAAGAAATAAAATCATTCCAATATGACTGTACAATTTTGTTATTAATCAAAAAATAAGAGGAAATACAAAGTAATGCAAGTAGACAGTGTTAATAAGACAGCTGGTTTTCTATAGTAGATGATTTCCTTAGATTTGCATCTTTAGGGAAATGCAAGATGTTGATTTTACATTCATAAAGACAACAATGCTCTGACTAGTTGAGCTATTTAGATTTATTTCCATTTGATTTGTTTTACTTAAGGAAAGTTTAAAACTCCTGCTTTTAGTTTAATCAGACTTAGTAAATATTATTCAAGGATATCACACTGAATGCAATGTTATTTGCAATTCTGACTAAAATTCCAGTGAGATGCATGAAATGGATTTTTATTTATAATGTGCTAGTATTTCAAATTAGAAGTTCAGAAAATCTTTATGTTTCTAGAAGTTGGGAAGGATTTCCCATCTGATTTGTTGTTATAAAACCCTTAAGCACAAAATCTCTGTTTATGTGCTATCTGGGCTGCAGGGGCCTGTCCTGAGCTCTGCCCTACTCCAAGGTTTACTCTGGGATGAATCCTAGCTCATTTCTGGTGGAGATCTGAGATGGGGCATATGATTAGTAATCATTAAAGGAAGGAAGAATTCTTAAGATGGGAAAATGTTAGCATTAAATCTGTTGTGAAGGATCTTTGTGGTTCTGTGTGGTTTGCTAGGGTGATTGTAGTTGAATGCTAAATTGTCTTTTTCTTGAAAATAACTTAAAGATCTTCTTATACGGGCTATGAATATAATGCCAGGATATTGCATGGATACCAACAACACCGTAAATTACCCTCATTGCTTTGTAACTGTGTTATGTAGGTGGTCTTATATGCGTAGTACCTCTGAGATGAGTGTTGGGTGTTACTACTGTGATTTCTTAGAGGAAAAAAATGCAATATTATTTCATTAGAACATTTACTAAGAATCATCTTTTCAGTCACTATCAGACCAAAAGCCAAACCCAAATTTTCCTATCCCAAACGTATAGGGCATAGCTGTCTCCTTAATATTTGGGACAACTAAATGATCTCGATGCCACTTGCAGTCAAGGATTTAACCACTTTATCATTTCCTGATTCAAATACTCACATTGTACCATTTTGCTCTTTTGATCAGCTCATGCCATTGCTGCAAACCTTAGATACCAAATCCGGGTAATAACATCAAGTAACAGGACCGCGTTATACCATGGTTATCATATAATATATAATGATGATTCAAGACTTACCTCTTGTCTCTGCAAAATGAGTGATTTTAAGATATTTTATAATAGAAGATGACAAAAAAAATTGTGGCACACCTGTCAAAATGTAATACAAATGCAACCATGTTTTCCTATAACTGAGGTTATAGGAAGCTACCCATCTTACATTGTTAGTGAAGACAGGTAGGTCAAGAAACAGTGTATATGTATATATACTAAAGTAATATGCATAGATAAATGTCTAGAATGATGTGCACCAAAATGGTACAGTAATTTTCTTAGGAAGGTGTAATTTTTGTTTTCTCCCTTTAAAAAACAAAACTTTGCAGCCATTAAATTTTACATTTATAATCAGAGAAATAAATTTAACTTTATATAAAAAATATAGGAAAGTAAAGAACTTTGTAAAAATAAGCTATCTGAGGGCTATTTCCTAGAAAAGTCCCTTGGAGAAAATAATTCCTACCTCATTTCCTTTGCTTCCAGAACTGGATTTCATTTCCTTCGGTTGCTTTGTAAAAGAAAACAACAGTGTTTAGATGGAGATGCATTATCAGCTAACATTCAACATAGTGTACCTAGTATAGTGATTTTCTTGACCACGTTTTACTTCTAGAACAGTAACCCAGATATGCTGTTAACTCACTGAAGCCTGAGCAGCTGCCCAGGTTCTACAGATACAAGCTTGTTGTTCCACCTCACGGCTGTGACTTGAGAAACTTTCACTGAGATGAGTGAGCAAGTTGGCCTGCCATTAAGTTGGCCTGCCACTAAGTTAATATTTTGGAAAGAAGGAACCATGCTGGGTTTTTTTAGTTTATTCAACACGTCTTTGTACCTGGAGAGTGTCATGCAAACTAAGTCTCGATGATTCCCAACCCCTATGAAACCAAGTGTAGCACAGAGGACTGGAGTGGTGTCCCAACATGGTACAGTACCATACTCTACGGCCTCAGAGTTAAAGGAGACCTACTGACACAGTGTTCACGACAGAGATTGCCAATGGGAAAAAGACAGCAAATTAGTGTGTACAATGTGATCTTGCTTTAAAAAAAAGTGTATATCAATAATACACACTAGAAAAAGAATGAAAACATAAAAGTAAGGATGTTGATGGTGTTATCTCAAACAGTGAGGGAAATTCTGCTTCCCTGATTTTCTGCATTTATGTTGGCATTAAAAAATGATTTGTTACTATGAGACCATACTGAAAATGCTTTGCAATTAGAAGAGTCATTAAAAACTGAGGTTTTGTTATTTTGTATATTATACTTGCTAGAATAAAGACCTAACCACTTTTTGATGTGGCTCTTATACTTCATTTTTGCATGACTTTTGGGGAAGACAGACTTTTTTTTTGAAGTGTTCCTTTTTTTTTAAAGATTTATTTATTTAGACATACAGAACTGGGGTACAGGCCAGAGGTGGAGGGGCAGTGAGAGGATTCATCAGAAACAGAGTGGGGAGCAGAACAGGCAGACTAAGTGCACTGCTGAGGGGAGCAGCGGGTGGGTCAGGAGAGGTCTGACGTATCATGTGGGTCACCTTCTGGGCTGGGGATCGAACTTGCACTGAAGTGGCTGCAGCTAGCTTACAGTGCTGTATCCTAACCTGCTGCACCACCAGGGAGGGCGAGAAAACTGACATTTCTACATTAAAGGTTTTTACCTCTTATTTGCAAATATTGCCCACTATTGAAACTTTTTTGAGGATAGGAACTGAGTCTAAGCAAAAGAGTTATAAGAATGTACAACACCTGACTTCTTTATTGTTATTATTTAGCAATCTTACATAGGAGACATTCTGTTCAAAAGAGAGGCACTTTGAAATGCTGAAGACCAGGCCTTCCCGGTGGCACAGCTTTTTAAGCACAGCATTAAGAAGCTAAAGCCAATTCGGCATGAGTTTGATCCCCGCCTGACCCGGAGGTTGATCCACATGGTCCACAGACCTCTCCGGACCCGCCCGCTGCTCCCCTCAGCAGTGTAATTCATCCATCTGTCTGTTCTGCTCCCCACTCTGTCTCAGGTGAAGCCTCCCACTGCTCCTGCCCCTCTGGCCTGTACCCCAGTTCTGTATGCATAAATAAATAAATCTTTAAAAAAAAAAAAAAAAAGAAATGCTGAAGACCAAACAAAGACAAAATAAATGAAAAACCTACATTTGACCTTTAGAGATTGGATCTTTTTGAGGCTGGCTTAGTGGTACACCAACACTCAACTTGTTAGTAAACCTGATGAGCAACATATTTCTGTCAAAAGCAGTAGGGTCTTTAGGAATCTAAGAACTGTACAAAAAATAAAAAGAAAGCAGGAAGAGAACTCTAGGTTCAGAGGAAGTGGTAAACACAAGAAGAAACAGGATGAGGCTGGGTCAGAAGCTTTCTAGACATGCCAAATCAAACTGTGTGAAAATGTCATGCCCAGGAACATCCTATTTCTCCCAAATTGATCTATTAAAAGAAAGCACCTTAGCCAGAGATGTTGTATTGGTTTTCCTTATCAGGATGATACATTAAAAAAATATTGAAATCAGGAAGGCCTCCCTATCCATCAAAAGTTAAATTTCTTTGTCATTATCATCAAGCTGTATCAAACAGATAAATATGTGGTTATTTGGTAGCCATTGTTAAGAACTCAAGAGCACCTGTGTTAAGGTTCAGTGTTCTACCATTTTTTAACTCTTCAAAGATGGCGTGTTTTATTTTATTTCTCAGTAGGGTCTTTAATCTCACTTTAAAAAGTCACTAAAGAGCAAACTATAAGGCCTACTAGTAAAGATGTGTCTAATTTGGAAACAAAAACTTATAACTTTATTGCCAAACTCACCAAATGTCGAAATTCCACTGAGAGACTGCCATTGGAAGATTCTTCAATGGACATTGCTTTGACATGAGTTCCACAAAGGACAAATCTCCGATTGCTAAAGAGGAAATCTTGGCATGATTTACATGACCTCACTTAGATGGTTACATTATCTCAGGGAAATATATTGCAAAAAATACACAAAACAAACACAAAACTGAAATAGCCTTACCTTAGAGTTGAAAGATTCCTGTAAAACAAGAAGATCATTTAAAATAAGGTATTTAATAGCTCTAGCAAAAATTTCCTACAGAATAATATATACAATTTCAGTTCCCTTTAATAAAATAAAAAAATTTTAAAGATTCCATTGGAATTCCATTAAGTGTTTGAACTCCAAAGACAAATATTTAAAACACATTGGCATATAACATTGGAGGTATAAACAAAAGTTCGAAATTTGTTCTTTAAACAAGGTGGTTAATTTTTGAAAGTCTTATAGTTTCATGTTTCAGAACAAAATTAGAAACTTACTTGTCAATTGATGCTTTCACCTTTACCTGATAGTTCAATTCTGGCAACTTTATTAGTAACCTGGAAAGAGATAGTAATAATCAAAGAGAAATTGAGTGCTAACTGTCATTTTGTATTTAAAGATGTAAATGTATTTGTGACATATATATATAAATCAAAACTGCATTACTTACATATTTTAACATTTTACATGTTAATTTGTTTTTTTAAAGATTTATTTATTTATTCATAAATAATAAGATTTATTATTTATTCTCTGGGGTACAGACCAGAGATGCGGAGGGTGAGAGAATTCACCAGGGACAGAGTGGGGAGCAGAACAGGCAGATCAACGAAGTACACTGCTGAGGGGAGTAGGGGGCGGGCAGGAGAGGTCTGCCGCACCATGTGGTCTCCTCCAGGGCATGCGGAGATGGAACTCATGGGGAAGTGGCTTAAGCTTCTTAGTGCAGTGCTTTAACCTGCTGCACCACCAGGGAGGGCCGTTAATGTGCTTTTAAGATGTACAATTTCTGTTTCATTTGTCTCATTGCTTATTGGTGTTGAGTTCAACTGAATATAATTTTTTAAAAAGATTTATTTATTTATGCATACAGAACTAGGGTACAGGCTGGAGGTATAGGGGCAGTGAGAGGCTTCACCAGAGACAGAGTAGGGAGCAGAACAGGCAGATCACAAAGTACAGTGCTGAGGGGAGCAGCAGGTGAGAGAGGAGAGGTCTGCTGCACCATGTCGATCCTTGGCCAGGGATCAAACTCACACTGAAGCGGCATTCTAACCCGTTGGGAGGGCCGAATATCATTATTAACAAGCATTTGGGAAGTGTTTCCAAATGCTATAAATTTTGGGTAAAGTACACATTTGTGTTAAATGTATAAACTTCAGAAAAATTCTTTGCAATTCTGTTTATACAGCTACCCAATACATAGTAGTGTCACATTACAAAAAAAAAAAAGTAAGGTTAGTAAAATGCTTAGATGAAAAGTGTTATAGAGCGAAAATATTGAGAAAGGCTAGGTCTTTGGAAGAATATGAAAAATTATAATTCAAATGCATTTGTAATCATTAAATACAATATTTAAACAATAGCAAGAATGTTTATAACTACAAAAGACCTAACTTGAAACTAGTATCTAAATGGCAGCATAACAGTTCTCTTCCTTCTTCTGGCATTAGGTCCTCTCATCTTCTGCTTGCCCCAGCTCAGCAGAGCAAATCACTTGGAGATGCCCTGTTCACTGCCACAGCCCATTTCCACACTCATTCATTTCCACACTCACTTCTCTCATCCTTTTTCATTCACACAGCATGTTGCAAACTCCCCATTCATATCCATACAGCCTTAGGTGCCAAAGAACGGGTGTAGGAGATTTGGGGAGGAAGAAGTATGGATACGGCTATTCATAAAAGGAAGGAGCACAGACATATAGGTGAAACACACAGTATGGTAATGAACAAAGCACTGGAGAAAAATAACCATACTAACAGTCCAAACAAAAGGGTGCATAGAATGTAAGAGTTTCCCTAGAAGTCCTGTACAAAGCACAGAGTTGATTTCAAGGTTAGAAACATGATAGGTGTGGGTTTGTTCATAGTGTGTGTGTTGATCATAATAAAGGAAGACGTTTTCCCTTTCCGTTTTCTCTTTATCCTGTTTCTGGAAGGATCTGATCCACTTTAAGATTTTTAAGGACTAAAGGGAGTCCAGTGTCATGCCTCCTTTTGAAATAGGTAAATGAGGTTTGAGAGAAGTCTTGAATACTAAGAAGAGTATGATCTACAAAACAGTGGGGAACAGAGATGGAGCCCCTCCAGTCACACTGTGGAGGAGGAGGGTAGAACACCCCAAGTAGAGACTGATGATCTGTGTCTGTAACAGTCAGCTCAACAACAGGCAGGGTAACCCAAACACCTCCTTTCACTCCTTGCTTGACAACCTTACTCTTCTCCCTTTTGGTCCCAAAGTGCATCTTAGGCTTTCCAGTATCATCTATAGTGGTGTCTCAGGAAACGTAGGATGTCTACCAGCCCAGTATACCTTCTCCTTTATTGTTATGATCTTATGGGCTATATTGAGATAGGGGTAGAGGTTTTAAGGAATAAGCAGCTTAAAAAAAAGATTTATTTATTTATGCATACAAGAACTGAGGTACATGCCAGAGGTGCGGGGAGTGAGAGGATTCACCAGAGACAGAGTGGGGAGCAGAACAGATCGACGAAGTACACTGCTGAGGGGAGCAGCGGGTGAGACAGGAGAGGTCTGCTGTGCCATGTGGGTCAGCTCCATGGCAGGGATTAAATTCATGCTGAAGTAACTGGCAAAAGTTTGATAGCACTGAGAATTTAATCCCTTTGTCACCAGGGAGCTTTGGAAAATAATGACATTTCAAAAGGGAACCTGACCTCTGCTTTTGTTTTTGGTTGTTAAGTCTGTACAAAATTCACAAAAGGAAATGATTAAGAATTTCAATTAGGGTGTTTGACGTGCAAATTGAAGACAAATACCTTCCCTTTGAAAATGGAGTGCCAAGGTCATAGATGTTAATTAAATCTCTTGTGGTAATCATTTTGTGTTATATGTATGTCAAGTCCAGCTTAAACTTACACAGTGCTGTATGCCCATTATATCTCAATTAAACAGAAATCAAACAAAATGAAAGTGGAGTTCTAATAGTGATGCTATCAGGGACCCTATTATGGTACCCTAAGACACTGTGGGTCGTGGCACTGCCACCTCTTATACTAATTCTGGGGATTCAGCTTTCCAGAGGTGACTAGTAATCAGGAATTTAAAGCTAGGCACCTTGGAGATCAAGGCATGATGAAAATCTTTGAAAATTCCAATTTAGACTTGTGTTAAGTGTCACTAGGGAAAACAATATATTTTGGTTGCTCTTGCTAAGTGGAAATGGTTAACAAACAAATAGAGCAACACAAATGTCCTGTGTCTGTAAGCCAGGCACAGAGTAAGGATAAACTGAAAATTGTATTGAGAGTTTTCGTGGAAAATCCAACAAGCTAGTTACCAGGTAATCACAGAGGAAGAACACATACAATATTTCCTGGAAAGGAGGGCCAAAGATTTCTAAAATTTGTGCCCTGTCTTCTCAATTTTATCTTTCCCTTCGCCACACTCTTAACAAAACAAACCCTAGATGTTCTTTCTGTAGTCCGAGTCTCCTGAAGTCCTCCTCTTCCCCTCACTGCCCTTCCCTTGATGTCCTTCTGCATACTGTCCATGGGCATTCTCCAGCCTCCAGACTTCTCTCACACCAACATTTTCAGCAATTAACCCTGTTAGCCAAATTGTGACTTTATACTAGGACCCCTCAGTCTTCATCCTCATTACCATACTCTCAACAAGCCATGCCTCATCTTCACACTTCTGTGGGTATTTGCAGTAAAATAGTGCTTAATGCTGGGCATGCAGAAGGTGCTTAATAAAGAATAGTTGAGTGACAGGCATCATGAGAGAAAGTGGCCTTCATTACAGATCTTTGAACACAGATGCCTACCTTAGCTTCACAGTGAACTGGATGAGGGTTTTAAGTACCATCGGCCTCTGAGGGTGGGTTGGCATGCATGGCTGTCGTTCAACCACAAATGAGCTAGATTAAAAGGAAATAAAATGTGTCATTTGAAAACACTGAAAATGTTGACAGACTGAAAACCACAGAAGAACAGGATGCTGTTCTCTTATAAAGTCCAAAGTTTTTATACTCAGAAGGCATTCATATCCCCATTAAGCTCAGATCTTTCCAGTGACATTTCATAAGTAATTACTAGAGATCAGAAGATGCCTAAGGAGGGTCCCCAAGTCACAACAGTAAATAATTCTTAATTGTTACACTTGAGTGAAGAATAAATGCCCCACTCTACTTTGATCATAATAAACCATAATAGACCTAAGGTAGAAAGTTGATTTCATGCCATTTTAAAAACAAGCATTAATTATGGTGATGGCACATGGGTGACTCGGTGATGGGAAACCCATGGGGATTACAATTGAGATGAAAAAAAAGAAATGTACAAGATGATGTAAAAATAAACTATTATATTAAAACCAAAACCAAAACAAACAAACAAACAAACAAAAAACCCCCAAGCGTTAAGATTTTTGGTACATATTGTTTTAGATGAACTTAGAAACACACACATGCTCTCTACCCTCCATTTCCTGGATATGTTCTGAAGGAGAAATCCTGGAAATCTTTTTAAAAAGTAAAAACTTAACTAAGTGGGTGATGTGGCAGAGCTCAGAGAAAATGGAGTCAGTTTGTGGGAAAAGTGTCGACTTTATAGTGACGGGTAGAAACGTGCTTTCTAGAAGTTTTTTACCCTAAGGTTCACTGTTTAACACTTCTTTACCGTTGTTCTTCATCTTAACACTGAAACTTCAGCGGGGGTATCGTTCTAACTCTGCAGCAGTTGAGGATGCCATGAGACACTGAAATTGGTAATACCCCACTTACTTCTTGAAAAGATTGTAGATCAAGAAGGTGACTCTTTCTAGCAGGTGTGCTCTTTGCATCGGGATAGGGTCACCTTCATAAGTCATTTTGGTAGATTGCTCTTCCAACTTCTCCAGTTGCCTTCTGAGTTGGAAAAGACTTTCTGCCAACAGTGTAAAGCTGTTAAACAGCAAATGAAAATGTCAGATTTTCCCACTCTACAAGCTGCCATTAAATCTCTATCATATTTAGCACATATGCAATTACTAAATAATTATTAATCATGGAAGTCCACCAACGATGACTGTTCTTTATTTTCTTAATACATTTTATTCTTCAAGATCCATGATGTAAATTAAATAGTTTTTTTGGGTTTCAAAAAAAAGTAAGTCCATTTAGTCTTCTATCCCATGAACATCCATCCAGTCAGCTCTCTTTCAATGAACTGCATGATACTACTGTCTTAGGTACCCTTGCTTTCTCTAGCGAAACAAAATCTGCCTTTGCTTCAAATCTGTTTCATGCCTTGTAGCCAACCTGGTTCTTCACATCTGCAGAAATTTACTTATACTTCGTGATAGATAGGAATAAGCAGGCTTGTAAAATTTTTAGTGCATACCTGCTGGTATAGACAAGAAATCATTTATAAAATTTTGTCAACATCTGGAACAAAATGTCTTTCAATTAACCTTTGCTTAAAAGTCTGTTAAACACATGTTTAGAATATGTCACTCACTAAAGGGCAAATTTAAAACACAATAAAAATATATGGTAAGAATAGTATGTGAAAGAATTCTGAAGGACAAAATCATGAGGTCAACCTCTTCCCTTCTCAATATGTTACTTATAAGACCTAAGGATTAGCAAAAATTTATCAATAGATCTCTTTGGAGAATGGTATCTGCTTGGGATTTAAGTCGCGATGTGTCAATGTCACTTCAGAGGTGGAGGGGGTGCCGGGCAGGAGTCTAAGGAAGTGGCAGATTGAGACAGACATCAGAGAAGTCATCTCCTTGCACCAGGCAGAAGATCTCATCAGACACACTAAGTCCATCTGGCCCTGACAGCAGTTTTTTTCTACTTGAAATCTATTCTACATGTTACATTGAGGAATGAACTGATTTTTGGTTATGAGCACCATTATCCGATAAATTCTTTATTGTTCCTTTTGATGTTTATCTTGTTTTCACGTCAGACTACTGAGAGGTTAGAGAATCAAAGTGTCACCCCAAGGGAAATCAATACATTTAAAAATGAGCCTGATTCCTCACTTCTCTTGAGCAGTAGGCCTGGCAGAGAAAAGCTTTTAGTGCAAGCATCTCAAGTTATTACATATTTCCTTTGTACTGAATTATATACTTGGAAAGCAATTTTGGATTTCAGCTTGAACAGTCTCCTTTTTCCTTTTATTTCCTACTTGTTCTTTCTATCAGATTGCTTTATTTTGTACCAGTGAGGGAGCAAACCCTGACAATATTTTTTTCTAATACAAAGGGTAATATCTATAAGCGATTTCCTATGTGCATATATAAGAGGAAGCCCTGGCATTAGCTATTGGCTCATATCCTTAAGATACATGTTTTAAAATTGAGAAATCCTTTTTCAAATTAGTGTTGAAATTAGTGTTTATTATGTCTTTAAAGAGTGTATTTATTGCTGTTTTCAAAAATCCACTTGAGTCTTTTTAAAAAAAAAAAGACTGATATAGTAAATGAAAAAAATTAAGCAATTCTTATGCATTCTATAGATAACTTTCTTTTTCTCCCCCAAAGGATACAAACTAAGGATAACTATACAATTCTACCTGTTTCAACTGGCAAACAGTTGCTAATTTTCCCAGCTGTTAATTTACCATTTATAAGCTGAATAAATTGATGTTCTGCTTTAAACCTGCATTCTCTGGTTGAGCGACGCTAAAATTTTGTACTTCCTGTGGTTTTCACTAGAAATTAAGTCAATTTGTTTTACCAGTTCTGAAGCTGGTCAAGCCCATTCTGAAGTGGACCTCCAATGCAGGCGATTTGTTGCCGTCTCTTCCAATCTTGCAGCTCTTCTATTAGCATGCTGTTCATTAACATGTCTGATTCATTTACTATTTGTGTCATCTTCCTGAGGGCCTCCTAAAATTAAAGGTGACTACTGAAAGGATTTTCATGGACATAATAAAAGTCATTCACGCATAATTAAACTTACAGGACAATTTGACCTGGGAAATAAAGAATTGGTTGAAATTTTGACCAAATATTTTACCAAATATTATCTTTTACTTGCATAGCACTGCCTTTTCAAACAAATTATTATAATTAAATAATATTGTGAAGAAAGAACCATGACCATAGTTTAACAATCTCATAATATCTTTTGGTATAATGCATTGAGATTATAACTCTTATGACAAAATTGAATTTTGTAGCTATAAAACCGTAGTCCCGTTTTAAGAAAAGTTTATAAACTTAATTTATGTTCTCCTAGATGTTTATGCATTTATTTTCATATGTGCTAGATAATCACAAACTGAAATTTGAGTCTTTTTGTGTTAGCTTTTTTTTTTTTTTAAAGATTTATTTATTTATTCATACAGAACTGGGGTACAGGCCAGAGATGCGGAGGGTGAGAGGATTCACCAGAGACAGAGCGGGGAGCAGAACAGGCAGATGGACGAAGTACACTGCTGAGGGAGCAGTGGGCGGGTCAGGAGAGGTCTGCCACGCCATGTGGATCTCCTCCGGGGCAGGCAGGGATCGAACTCATGCGGAAGTGGCTTTAGCTTCTTAGTGCTGTGCTTTAACCCACTGCGCCACCAGGGAGGGCCAGCTTTTTTTTTTTTTTTTTTTTTTGAAGTATAACTTTCAAAGGCTAGGGATTTGAAGATATAAGCTCCTATCCAGGATTTGGACCACTATTAATTTGTTGGAACTTGATCTTCTAGTCTATACAATCAGGTAAATGGACTGGGTTATTTCCAAGATTATTTCTAAAGTCGAATAAGATGGATGCGATGCATGAAATATATAACAGACTTATACCTTGCATAAATCTTGGATTATGCAAAATACAAAATAATCTTGGATTGCTATTTACATATTTAAAATCCAATTAGATCCTCTCTGGTGGAGCAACAGGTTAAAGCGCAGCACTGTGAAGCTAGCTGCTTTAGCTGGAGTTCAATCCCCTGCCGGGGATGTGACTCACATGGCGTGGCAGACCTCTCCTGGCTTGTCTGCTGCTCCCATCAGTGGTGTATTTTGTCAGTAAGCTTGTTCTGCTCCCCACTGTCTCTAGCGAATCCTCTTACCACCCCTGTACCTCTGGCCTGTACCCCAGTTCTGTACATATAAATAGATAAATCATTAAAAATAAATAAATAACATCTAAGACATAACTTTGTGTTTTTAAAATAAATAAATTTTATATTTACTTAGGCTGACAAATTACTACATAGAAAAATGCAGATGAACTTTCAGATATGAACCTTTGATTTAACAGCACTGATTAAACTTCATTTGTATTTTCAAATTGAGGTAGAAAATTAAAATTAAAATAGATATGTTTGCCTCTGAAAATATTTCATTGTGTCAGAAAAGAGTTCTTTCTTTCCTTGGGACAAGACTATATTGAATATACTCAAGTATCAATAACCTATCCTGATATGTGGAAATAACGTAGCGCAATGTCATTTTTTCAGTAGAAATTAGAATATTTATTTCTCCAATAAAATTTAACTGCTGTCATGTAATATTTTAGTTATATATGTGTAGTAGAATCCATCTCAGCATATCAAGTACAGTAATTGAAACATTCATGTCTGAAATTGTGGCAAATAGAAAGTGGGTAAAATGTTCCCCTTGAAATGAATGGTCACTATAGTAATAATATAGAACATAAGCAAGATACACAGGACTTGAGGAGGTCCAGCTCTGTAAACTTAGGAAGAAGAGCATGCAAACAGTGTGGTATATTGCTGTTTGTTCAGTATAAATGGAACTGCTAAAATCTAAGCGCCTAGGATTCAGGAGGACTAGATGTAGGAAAATGAGAAAAAACAGGCAAAAGTCCTTCACTAACCTTTCTCTTGAAATCAAGACTGTTAAGCATTTCTTGAAGAGTTGATACTTCCTGGCTCACCAAGGCACTATTTTTGTCACCCTGGTCTGTAAAGGAAAAATCGTCAGATTTAGCATTTTCTCCAACACAAAGCTATCTGGCCAGAAAGGCAAGTTGACTGCAACCTGCAGGAGCTTAAGATGAAGAGTCTAAATGGGACCTTCAGAAATGAGCTTTGTAGCTCATTTTGCAGGAAGGATTATATCCAAGCAAGTCAGAGATGAGCTCTCTAGCTTGCTAACCTTGAGGGAAGATCATTCTTCACACCCTGCTCATTTTCTTTTTTTGGTGATAGGGGTGGAGTGGGGAATGCAGCAGTGAGAGGCTTGGAGGGAACGGAAGAGGAGAGATCAAGTTTTTTCTAACAAATTCTTTAGTAGATATCTCTACACTGATACCACACTAGTTGACTGACATAAGTAAGAAAGGAAAGGGGCCTTCCTTTGTGCCATTATTAAGTCATTTTTGTTTCTTCCTGATACCCACCCCTCCCTTCTCTACTTTATATCCAGAGTTACAGGAAACTGTTTAGTAGAGTTGCAATTTTAACTACTCAGTATCATGAACTTTCCCTTTTTCTTTATAATGTGTGTTTGCCTCATCATAACACTAGATGACGTGGGAGAGAATTGCAAATTAAGAAAAATTCCAAAATGATTTTGCTTCTTAAATGGTAGATGTGCAATAAGCTCTGAATTATTTCATTGGGACATATTTAATTTAAACATAGGCTTTCTTGGCATGCAGCAAGTGATAGAATATACAGAAATTGTTCATATCAAAAATAAAGAATACTGATCTGACTTGTGTAATTGTGAAGAGAGGCCCCAGAGCAACTCGGTGCCAGCAGTATCTACAGAATAAACAAATGGTTGTATTAATTCACAGATTTGCTAGCTTGTGGATCTACATGTAGTAAAATATTGTTTATATAGCATTTTGTGAATTAAAAAATTCATTAGCTATCACATTCCTCTTTGTACTAGTAAGGATATGACTTGCTTCTCATGTATCTTTCATTTTATTTAAGATACAGGATTCATTTATAAACAATAGATTAAGTAGTTGTTGATTTAACTGATAAAATAATTTTCATCCTTCATGATGTTCATGAAGCACTGAGATATTAAGTGACTCCAATTACAACATATTAATTACAAAATCATTTTCTTGTTTAAGGTATGTTGTTATATTTTGATTCTAAAAACTGCCCATTTCATATGCAACTTAGGGTGAAGCTGCTTTCAATGAACTGTGATGCTTGATCAAGTTTTAGGTTATTCTGAACCGTACAAGGATCAGGGTTGCCTTTGATAATTCATTGTAATTCATATTTATGATATTTCTTATGAAGGGAAAATTATACATACAAGCAATTAAGAATATTTTGAATAATATTTCATGGGCTTCAAGATATTCTAAAGGTGCTAGAATATGCCACTTCTGACCTATGCCAGAAGAAGTAAATTCCTTAGTGTCTCCTCTTTTAAAATCTTAGATGAAAAGTGAGCCTCCCTGGTGGCACAGGGCTTAAAGTCTTGGTGACAGCAAGCTATCGCTAGCCACTGCAGCATGAGTTTGATCCTGGCCAGGGAGCTGACCCACATGGCGCAGCAGACCTCTCCTGTCTTGCCCGCTGCTTGCTCCCTTCAGCAGTGTATTTCGGTTGGTCAGTTTGCTCTGCTTCCACTGTTTCTAGTGAATCCGCTCACCCCTCTCAACTATACCCCAGTTCTTGTATGCATAAATAAGTAGAAATAAATCTTTCCTTAAAAACATCTTAGCTGTAAAGTTAAGAAGTTGATTATCATCATCTACATATCCTTTCAGATAAATTTTAAGCTAAAATTCCAAATTAACGATCATTTACATCCATTTAAAAAAATTATCTTAAAATAATCTTAGAACTAAAAAAGATTTCAAAAATAGAACCGAGTTTTCATATGTCCTTTATCCAATATCTTACATAAGCAAAGTATAATGATCAAAAGCAGTAACTTAACATTGGCACAATTTTGGTAAGAAATTTATACCTAATTAGGATTTTGCCAACTGTTCCACTGTTACAACATTCTTTAAATGAATAGTCTCACATGTTATTTACATTGTTAAAAAAAAAATCTTCAGTGTTAACCATAAAGATGCAGTCAAATAAATTACAGAATCCTTATGTTTTGACACATAGAATTCATTGAAGTTATTTTTTGAAGGTTTTTTTATGGTAAGGGGACAAACTTAAAAAACAAAGCTTTAATTTAAAGTACAATACATAAAATTATGTAATTTTTAAGAAACAAATAACATAAAGGAGAAAGACTGGATAGAAATACACTAACATTGACAGTTTCTCTACAGATGTGGAATTTCATATGATTTAGAATTTTTAATGTTTTTGTTTATCTCCCCAATTTCCTACTATGAATCATATTTCTACTTTAGAATTAAAATTATATTTAAAAATTTACTAGGAATGATAGTAGTAATTTCCTTATCGGATAATTTTGTTACTTGGCTGTGGTAGGCAAATATTTTTATTTTTTAGAGATTTAAGCTGAAGTTGGGATGATTTCTCCTGAGCTATATAACTTACTTTGAATTGGTTAGTAAAAAGAAATATTTATATGGAGAGAAAACAGGAAAGCAAAATAAATACTCATAGCCTACATTCTCCCTTTAAGAAAAAAATACTAAAGCTGGGGAATTAATCAAATTGATGTATCAATTCTGTCACTAAATTATAGCAATGTTGCCTATGTGGATCTATATAGACATATAGACAAAACAAAAACTTACCCATTGTCTGAATTGTTTTATATCTGTAATCAAATTCGTCTTGCAGATCTTCTAAATATTTGGTATCTTGTTCTGTCATCTTTTTACAAAAGAAAACATACCCCGTTACAATCAAGCATGTCAAAAGAACAAAATCATCAGCATTTCAACATCTACTGGTATTCCCATTCCTCACTAATATCCTACCTCTCCTATATAGAACCTACATTAAGAGCTCATTTCTTATGAAAGTTGAATAATGATCCAGATTTAATTTACTCTTCTAACTCTTTTCTAGATTGTTAAGAAATCTTTCAGGTTTGGAAGTCTTGTATCTCGTTTCTTGATTAGTTCCAAATGATGCTACTAATCTAACAAGCATATGGATACGTTTTCCTTTTTAGTTTCATATAACTATTAATTCATCAATGTCCTTCGTAAAGGAAATCTTTCCAAGTTTAGTCTCCATTCTAATCTGCTGTACATTATGAACATTCAGAAAGGTTTTCTTCTCATGTCTTAGGAAAAACAACTTTTCTCTGTTTAATTTTGTGTTTGAGATTTTTACTTTTCTCTAAACCTAGTGATATTTTTCTGCTCAACATAATAAGTAGTAAGTGTCAAGATCTGCACCAAGCTTTTAATATTTATCTAATGTAGTCCTCACAGCAGTCCTGTGAAGGTGGTTGTTGTCACTTTTATAGGTGAGGAAGCAGAGGCTTAAAGATATAAACAGGACTTTCCAATGATGGAGTGTGTGGGGAAGACTGGTCATGTAACTTCCCATTCTGCTCCTCCTCCCCCACCAGACCCCTCACCAAACTTAGACCCATTGCTTCCTTGATCTTAGCTTACTTCCCTTTCTTCTTAGAAAACCAAACTTTCTACTGCCTACTTATTCCAGGAAGTCTTCTCTAAGGAAACATACATCTACCCCAAACACCCTTTCTCTACAAATTTAAACTTCAGTCGGAAAATTATTGGTTACAGAAAGTACCCAATTTTGAATTTAGTCTGTATTTCTATTTCAACTCTACAATTCAAAAGCTCTATGAATTTGAGCAAGTATCTTTGCATTTCAGCTTCTTCATCTGTTAAGAGGGTTGGGAGAGAATGGGGCTAAGAAAGGGCAGTAAAAATAGTATCCACCTCCTAGAGCTGTAAGGATTACAGTGCCTGGTATCAGATACATGCTTAATAAGCTTTAGCTAGGATGCTATCCTCATTCCTTTTTGTTATCCCTAAGTCATTCCCTAAAATAACTTTTTTGTACACTGTAGAAAAGGAATAAAGTAGCAATGGATGGCTATGAAGGACTTGTAGTTACTGAGTGGGTATATTGTCTACTCACTCAATAGTAACAGCTATCAATTTTCTAGCAAGCTGTGCTGTATCTAAACTTTACATACATTATCCTTTCAGAAACCTTCACAGTAAATTATTTTCATTTTTCATGTGAGTAAACTGGTTTAAAGTCATACAGCAGTAAACACTCTAGCTAGAATTCAAATCCAATCAAGTCTCATTCAAGGACTTTACTCTTTCTTTTCATCATATCTCAACACCACTTGTAGTATTTCATCTAAATACTGAAAACAAAGGCTAATGGAATGCTATAGGCTACTGAAAGGGAGGAAACATACATAAATAAAAAATATGATAAAATTAGGTATGATTATTCTAATGCAAAAATATTTAGGGGTTTAATCTTTTGATCTCAAAATTAAAAGCAAAAGGATGGGAATATCTTGCAGAATAATTTAATGAAAAGCATATTAACTAATGCCACTCTTCTGAAAAGTCAATTTTGAAAACGTTCCATAGAGAAACTTAGGTCATGGCTTAAGTGGGGGAAATGCACTTATTAATAAGCACTAGTTGCCTACACACCAGGCCAGGTATCCTGGGATCAGGCCTGAGGCAGGGGTTAGGTGCATGGAGGTCCATAGAGTAGAATGGGAAGAGACAAGAGATAAGTAAGGGTATGGTTTCCATTTGAGTCCAGTCTGATCCCTTGTGGGCTTAGAACCATAGAGCTAATCTCACTTCGGGGCCCAGGACTAGTCTTTTGTACCTATATGTTACATTTCTTGTACAAATTGGAACAAAATTGTTCTCATTTAAGAAATCTCTAGATCAATAAAATTGATAAATCTCTAGTCAGACAGACCAGGAAACAGAGGAGTATGGAAATAAAGAGCAAAATGAAAGAGATAATATTACAGTCTTCTGATACGCAAAAGATAATCAAAGAACTTAGCTGAAATGAGCAAAGTTCTTGAAAAATACAGATAACCAAAGCTCATGCAAGATGAAACAGAAAACATGAATAGCTCCACATCAAAGAAATACAAATTGAATTTAAAAGACTTTGCAAGAAGGTGTCTTTTCTAATATGAGCATAGTATGTGAGAGAAATTTACCTTATTAACGTTTGCTCTCTGATTTCTGCATCCACTAACTCTGGACACATAGGAGAAAGGGGTACAATTATATAGGACAATGACTGGCCTTCCTCAGCATCTCTGAGATCACTTACCTGCACGCTGTTTTTAATGGCAGCCACTTTGTGTTCCACATTCCTCTGTCTTTCTGAAACTGAAGAACTTTGTAGGGATTTCTCCAGAGGTCCCTGGAAAAGAATGTCTTGAAATTTCAATGATGTTAATAAAACAAGTTTATATCCAATGTATTATATGTAGCACATATTTTGAACAGAGATTTAGAACAGTAAGCTATGAAATACTTCACAGTCATTGAACTCATGGTGAAGAAAAAGAATGAATTACAACTGAATGTTAAAGTGGAGATGATAAAAACACCATATTTATGACCTTCACTGCTTATATAATGTACACATATTTATAAATGTATGACTATATATACAGAAATGTGAACTCAAGAACATTTAATAGAGGAAAATACATCCCCCCCCAAATGGTATCTTTGGATAGTGAAATTGCAGATGATAATGTGTTTTAATTTTTTTCAAACTTTCAATAATACATCTATATTGTTTTTGAAATTCTGTAAAACACAAATCATTTAAAAATCTGTATAGTGTAACTACATTAAATTGTACTCAATTTTGGATAGGGGGTGTGGATCTGCAAGGATGAGATTTATTTTTACACTAACACAAAGGGTGATTAACTAGAAGGTAATGAGCTTCTCCAAGCACTGTTTTTTGGCCACTCTAATAATTTGACATTGAGTATGTTCCTGTGATTTTGTGACATAATAAGAAATATGTGCTTGATTTTCTTTCTATTTCTAGCACAGAGCTCCTGAATACCTTGGAATTTCCAAGGAAATGATAGTGTTAAAGGTGTATTTTATTAATATTAATGAATAACTTTTGGAAGCCATCTAATGAAGAGGACTGGTTGCCAAGAGAACCACCCTAGAGTTGGACTTAATTCAAATTGCACTTAAATTCAGAATTAGTGGTGTTAAATTTAGCAGGATGAGATTCACTGATGAGCAAATTAATCAAACTTGAGAGGGAGGTTACTGAAACCTCTAATCTATAATCAGTAGGTCAGGAGCCAGGGGACAACCTGGATTGTGACTGGATTCTGAACAGAGTAAGGGGTAGTCATGCAGAAGTGACCCCCAACCTGTGAGATCTGATGTTATCTCTAAGTAGATGGAGTCAGAATTGAGTTGGTTTAAAGGACACCCAGCCAGTGTCAGAGAATTGCTTGGTGATGTGGGAAAAATTACCCACATATCAGAATTTGGTAAAGAATCCAGTTTCTTAGATATAAAATCACATAAATATCTAGAATTGCAAGTTAAAGATGTCAGCAACCCTTTTACCTGACAGTTAAGTTGGGAGTTATGGGTGGAAAGGTTGATGATTAAGATCCACAGCAAACCGGTAAACCATTTGAAACCTCAAATGGAACTCATGTCCTTGACTTTCAATTAAGTGTTCTTTCAACTACACCATTCTCTAAGATCATTAAGCCATTATAAAACTCCCTGTGTCTTATTTCTCTCATTTTGGCCTCTATTATTTGTTTCCTACTTGAGAGTTAAACAAACCTGTGCTTATTTTGTGGCTGTGCATAGTACTGGTAGATTATTTGCAATGACTAGATGAATATCTACTCAAATTGGTGACAGACACTTAGCAAATTTTTAATTTGCTATCGGACTCTTGAAGGGAACAGTAACAAAAATGACATACACTAAAATGGTGAGAAATAAGAGGGACACACAAGAAAGATAGCTGAGAATGTATTTGACATATATTAGTAATAGAACCTCAATTTTTACCCCAAAAGCACTGAATCAAGCTGTATTTACTATGGAACTTACTATATTTTAGATTTTAAATTAAATAAAAATGATACCATCCTTTTTCACCTAAAAAATAAGAATGCAGCATTGTTAAAGCTCTATACTTTCCAAGAACAACACAAACTTGGTAATCACTAAACCTCAGAATTTAAATAGTTGAAAAAAGATACTTTCTTATGGATCTTCAAAAGTAAATACAGTGGCAAATTTTGGAGTGTGTCATTTGGAAAATTGACTTCTGACTCCTTTTTATAAGGACTAATTGCAAAACTTTTAATGATGTCATCAATTCCTCTACCTACTTTAGATGAGGACTCTGAATTCATTCAGCATCGTGAGATAAAACAATCAGAAACATGAGAAAGTACATTCAAGCAACCAACAAACAGGTATTTAAGAAGTTTCTGTCAAAGAAGTTGCTGCTTGTATAGTAGTTTGGATTTATATGACACTGAGAGCTGCTGAAGGGTTTTGAGCAAAATCAGTCCCTGAAGATGAACATGCTGAGTGGAGCCTGATGATAATTAGGATTTTAGTTGGGGACAGGGTAGACATGACCTGTGAACACAGAAAGGTATAGACAGGATTTAGAAACAGGTGTAGACAGGATTTGGAAAGACTTGGTAATTATCTCAATAAGGAGGCAGAGAAAAGGAACTACTCAAAGGTGATCCCAAGACCTAGATTCCAAGTGATTCAAAGAGATGCACTACTAGCAGAAAAATAGGAAGCTACATTGGATGAGGATAAGAATTTGTTTTGGAAAAATTGAATTCAACATGATAATAAGACCCAAATTCAAAAAAGTATTACCTGAACAGGCATGTTGGCTGCAGCCAGTATTCTCCTCTCTTCCCTTAAGCAATTTGAAATAACCACAGCTACATGCATTGGATTTCCATGAAATTTTCCCTGAAAAAAAAAAATATTGTGTAAAACAATATAGAAGTTTTAACATGGATATCATAAGAAAAAGTACTACTTGCAACTCAAAACAATATATATTATTTTAATTTAAATTGTATTATAAAATTAAATTATGAATCTGTGTGCCTATTTGACATATTCCTTTGTGTTCAAACATACTTTTCAACTTCTTGAGATCTCTGTAGAATAGCCCCTGAACTCATATCAGGAGGATCAGTTTGCTTTACACTTATGTTAGGTTTTTTTTTTTTAAAGATTTATTTATTTGTGCATACAGAACTGGGGTACAGTCCAGAGGCTCAGGGGGCGGCGAGAGGTTTCACCAGAGACAGAGAGGGGAGCAGAACAGGCAGATTGACGAAGTACACTGATGAGGGGAGCAGCGGGCGGGTCAGGAGAGGTCTGCCACGCCATGTGGTTACCTCCGGGGCTGGCGGGAATCGAACTCATGCGGAAGTGGCTTTAGTTTCTCAGTGCTGCGCTTTAACTCGCTGCGCCACCGGGGAGGGCCACACTTATGATAGGTTTTAACTATCAGTTACTTCTGGAAATTATTATGAACAGATGGCACTAGCTATTCACTTAACTTTGGGTTTCACAGTATCTGTAAAGCTTTTCTTTTGGTCCTATTCTTGTTGGCTGTGAGCATACTAGAGTGAAACAATGAAACATTTCTGCAATAATATATTTATGGTAACTAAATATATATAAGATAAAATAAAATAAAAGATATATGTATACTTTTATATATATATACATATATATAGATATCTTTTATTATCAAAGCTAAAGATGAAGGTATTGTAAACTGGTAGCCTGTGTGTCATTAGATATGTTGTCTAAGTTATATACATTCTAAATTTTATATAGAAACAATCTAAGTGTCTGTCAATGCATAAACAGATAAAGATGTGATATGCATGCACAATGGAGTACTACTCAGTTATAAAAAAAGATGAAATTTTGTTATTTGCAGCAATATGGATGAATATGGAGATCATTATTATATGTGAAATAAGTCAGGTAGAAAAGGAAACTATGACTTCACTCATGTGTTGAAGATAAACAAAACAAGTAAACAAGACAAAACAAAAACAAATTCTTCTAAGAACAAATTGGTGGTTGCCAGCGGAGAAAGCCAAAGGATGATTAGGTCAATATATGATGGTGAATTGAAACTAGATTTTTCGTGTCAATGATAATGTAATAAATACACATGTCAAGTTTTAATGTCATATACCTGAAACCTGTGTAATGTTTTAAACCAATGCTACTTCAATAAACAAGAAAAGACTATAAACATATAACTTAGAATATTTCAGGGGGAGCTCATACTACTCACAGTTGGCACTGTGCCCACCATTGTGGGACCAGGCACTCACCTTCCACACCCCTTGCCAGATATCTGTGTTTCCAACCTTGGTTTACAGCACTGTTTTGAACATCATCGTCAGTCGTGTTAAACTTCTTTATTAGTAGACTTTTTCAAAGGCAGGATTAATGGGAAGCTCAATCAATGTACATGAATACATTTATTTTGTTTATCTCCTATTCTTTGAAGGAGGTGCTAATTAGCCATGAAATGGCCATAAGGTCAACAGTAGAAAAAACAACAGTGCACACAATGACAAATTAACAATTAATTAAAAGTACTTTACACAAACCAGTAAACCAATGTGTCTTTATAAGAAAAGTGAGTTTATTGGTTGTAAACACTTTTATGGACTTGACTGTTGCTGCAGTTTTATTAGATGATAAACATTAATTAGCATTTCTATTTGTAAAACTAGGGTAAACATCAAGTATCCGAGTTTCTGCTCTTCTGTATTTTACCCCCTTTAAATCAGAAAGACCCTCCCCCTCCCCATTTAATTGACAGTAACTCATAAGGTAAAGAAATTTAAATGTTCTACTTATTAAGCAGGTATGGCTGATACTTTATTTTAGTTTTAGTTTTTCCTAATTAAAATTTGTTCTGTTACTAATTTTCCCATCCATTGATTTTTTTTCCTTTATTTCCATTTATCCTGCATGAAGAGTTATATTTTCACATTTTGCCTTTCAGTTATTATGAAAATATTTTATGTTAAAGTGCTTTTTCAGGGCTAATTTGTAGACTCTCATTTATAAAAACTTTTCCCATTAGTGGTTAGGAGTTCCTGTAAGACTAAGAGTCATTATTTTTCTGTTTTTTCTCACAGTTATTCGAGTTTTTTGTTCCTGACTTTCAACATTTCCCAATTCGACTGTTGCTTTCCATTTTTTTCTGTCCTACTTGAACTCCTTTAGTTTTCCTTTTCAGTTCCAGTTTCCCCCATATCTTCTAAGATTATTCATCTTTTCTCTTGATTAAAAGCAAATAATCGTCTTTATTTTCTTGCAGGTTATTTTTTCACTTTCCTTTTACTCTTTTTCCTCACTGAGATGTATGAGACTAAAAACAACTTGTGGAAAATATATCACTATCCATTCAAAACCAGATTAACACCTTTTTTCATAACTATCAAAATCATACTCATGTTCCTCTTTCAGTACTTACCACTTAAATGAACCTCAAAAAAAAAGAAAGCAACAATACAATAAAACCAAAGACTAAACAAAACAATAATAAAGCATCCCCAAAGTGTATTGTTGGGAGGGAAAAAGGAAGAGAATGTGGAGAAAAAGAAACTGTCCACTTTCTGTTGTGTTTGTTTCTCTTAGGTCTATACACTGCACAAATGCTCTAATCTAAATCTTGTTCTTGATTATCTTAAAAGTGTTAATGAATAGAAGTTTTTAATATTAATGAAGTAAAATTAATTCTTTATGGTTTGTTCTTTTCAAAGATTAAGAAATCATTTCCTAACCTGAAACCATGGAGTTTTCCCCTAGGGTATCTTTTAAGTCTATTGCTTTGGCTTTCATTGAATTGGCTTTCACTAGGAACTAGTTAATAACTAGTTATTTTCTATATGGATATTCTAGGCTACGTTTATTTCTATGTAGTTGTATTTTTGATAATGAAGTAAGCTTTATCTTAACTAAATTTGCTGATTTATAGAAATATAATTGATTATATATATGATATATCTTTGATTTTCAAGTCTAGCAACCTTGCTAAGCTCATGGATTATAATGATGTATTTGTAGTATTGCTTAACAATTATAAAAATTATCTGTAATTTCTTTTGGATTTTACACATACACAAATCATATTGTAAATACTAATGAAGTTTTTCTTCCTTCTCAGTCACCTATTCTGTCAGGATTTTACCTCTACCCTACCCTAAGATTTATTAAGAAAAGTATTGGTTATTTTCCAAACATAAGTACTTGTTTTTATGGATTTCTGAATTCCTTTAAAAAAATTATTTATGCATACAGAACTAGAGTACAGGCCAAAGTTGCAGGGGAGGTAAGGGGAATCACCAGAGACAGAGAGGGGAGCAGAACAGGCAGGTGAAAGTGAAACATATTGCTGAGGGGAGCAGCAGGTGAGACAGATAGGGGAGGTCTCCTGCGCCATGTGGGTTACCTCCCTGGCCAGGGATTGAATTCATGCTATAGTGCTCTATGAAGAGAGCTTCATAGTGCTGTGCTTTAACCCAGTGCACCACTAGGGAGGGCTCGCATCACTGAATTCTGATGAGAATATTTGCTCTCAATGACTTACTAACATAAAACTTGGACTTTTTGTGTTGTGTTCCAGTATATGGGTTTTAAGGAAATGTTCCACATGATCTTGCAAAGAAAGATCATGTGTATTCCACAAATGTTGAGTCTTAGACAGTTGTATTAAACCAAGCTTGTTAATTTTTCAAACTTGAACAATCTTGCTGATCTTTTGCCTGATTAATTTTATCAGGTCATAGAAAGTAAAAATCTATTTCATGAATTTTCTCTCTATGATTGTATCATATACATTCATACTTATTATATATTATTAGTCTGTCAAATCCTTTATTAATATGAGTGACTTTCCTTTATTTCTAATAGCTTATTGCCTTGCAAAAATACAAAGTGTAATATAATGTTTTTTTATCACTAAGAATTTTTTGTCTCATCACAATCTCACAGTGCTAAAAATAATAAGAATCCTTTTGATTTATTTCAACATATAGTTATTTAAATAATTGAAAGAGTTCTTTTTACTTATTTCAGTAGCAATATAGTTTTTTATTCCCCCAAAGATTTATTTATTTTTGCATCCAGAACTGGGGTACAGGCCAGAGGTGCAGGAGTGGTGAGAGGGTTCACTAGAGACAGAGTGGTGAGCAGAATAGGCAGACTGACAAAATATACTGCTGAGGGGAGCAGCGGGCTGGTCAGGAGAAGTCTGCTGCACCATGTGGATCTGCTCCCTGGTTGCGGATTGAACTTGAACTGAAGCAGCTGCAGCTAGCCTCATAGTGCTGTGCTTTAACCTGTTGAGCCACCAAGGAGGGCCCAGTAATATAGTTTTTTAAAATCACAAATCAGTGTTATGATATTATGTATAGGGTAATTATACATAAAATAAATTGGTTAATGCAGTTCTAAACTTAATCATATATTTAGAATTTAGCTCTCTAAGTCTCTTATCAACTTATATTTTTTGGCATCTATATTTTCCCCATAAAATTATGTCCTCTAGGCCATGAAGAATGTTAGTGATGCTCCTTCTCTTTAAAATGTGTACAACTGTCATCTCCATTTTGTATGTTTTGATCTTGGCACCTTCTCATACCAACAGTTCTCACTAGAAAGTTTTCAGATAAAAAATCCTTATAAAAGATACTTTAAATAACTTGCTGACTGAAGCATTGGAAGGTTGTAGTAGCCTAGCCATGTCATCATAATTAACAATCAAATCACTAGTCTTTTAGGAGAAGTTATTACTTCACTGTTCATATATATGTCTATAATTTCTTTGAGAACTAGAATATATAGTCGCTTCCCAGGTAACTATACCCAGAAGATATCTAACCAACTCAATCACCATCCTTACTATTTTTATTCATGCC